CAGTTATTTCCTTTTCAATCTCATATTTGCAATAGAGTAGCGAATTTGTGGTTAATAAGCCCATACTGTGAGCTGTTATGTGCTAAATGTAAAATTATGTCCCATGATGCTCTAGCTCATTGCTGACTTGATTGTAGACATCCAGATTTGGTTACCTTCCGTGACGATTTTTTTACTGATATTGTAAACAATTATCCGGTTGAGTTGTACGTCAAACTTGATAGTTAAGACAGACAAAACATTCTTTGTATCCTATTAGGACACATTCCTGATAATATACGGGAACTACTCCCGGATGATGAGTGCTGCACTAGGTTTGCATACGAGTGCTGTTGCTTTTCTGTCAAAGCTGCTGAATTCACTTTCCAGTAAATGTGTATATATATATACAATCAAATTGAATTTGTCTCAAAAATGCATTTGTATTTTTTTATTTTATATTTCCTGTTTCATGTATTTTTCCTCATTGACGCCTTGATCTAGTACGATCAATATATGCCATTTTTGTAATTTTCATATGTACTCTTCATTTATGGAGGAATAAAGTCAAGGAAGAAGAAGAAGAAGAAGAAGAAGAAGAAGAAGAAGAAGAAGAAGAAGAAGAAGAAGAAGAAGAAGAAAAGCGGATTATTGGATTAGCGTATCCCTCGCCGTGGCTCCATTGCACTGTATATGCCGATGATACATATCATGTCAAGATGGCCGTCGGAGCCGGTTGTGTGAGCTGGGTGCTCCTTATTTTAGTGCTTTTAAACTCTTTTAAAAGTGGATTGTACCAGTATGAACTAGCAGACATCACTAATATGTCACCAGACAACCATTTCCCGATTCTGGACAAAGTGATAAAGTGCTATGGTGCCGAAATAGTACGAAGAACAATTTTGAATGGAATTCCCTATATGACGAAACAGAAACACACAGGAAGGAGTGTGAACACTATTCGTTTTCTGTGTCTGCTGTATATCGTTATGTCAAACGACGTGAGTATGAATCCTGGACCTGGGGTGACCACTGTAGACTGTGGCCTGTGTGAAATGAATGTGCAATCAACCGAGTCAGCATTTACCTGTATTGGGTGCACAACGGTATACCACAGTAGCTGTTTGAACACTGCTGATAGTATTGAAATCAATACAGTCTTAAAATGGATTTGTGACAAATGTGTCGAAAGTTCTCCAGGAATTATGACTTTCATGTTTCCTCGGATAAGTATATCGAAAATCTTCCAAAGGGGATGAAATTTGCCCACTTAAATATATACGGTCTATCAAATAAACTTGACCAAATCAAGATACTTTTAAGAAAAAGAACATTTGATGTATTGGCATTAACTGAAAGTAAACTTGATAGTTCTACGGATCCACCGGATATTTCCATACATGGATACTCGGCTTACCGTAGAGATCGAAATAAACACGGCGGCGGAGTTATTGTTTATGTAAAGGACTCACTGACCGTTGTGGATGAGAGCTCGTCTATCGTGGACGGAATGGAGGTTTTGGTTTTAAAAATAAATCAAACGAACTCGTCAAGTATACGATGTGTTTCAGTATACAGGCCTCCCAGTGAAAAAGTTGACTGGTTCCCTCAATTTGACCAGATTATAGAAAATGTTTCAGCACCTGACCAACCATTAATTGTCATGGGTGATTTTAATATTGACGAACTGAAAAACAAAAGGCTTAAAACCCAAATGAATGTGTATAGTTTACATCAGAACATTACATCTCCGACCAGGGAGACAACAACCTCAGAAACATTAATCGACCATATATATACCTCGGACTCGTTTTCCTGCAGAGAGGCCGGCGTTATCCCGTTAGGAATAAGCGATCATCACTTAGTGTATGCTGTCAGAAAAGTAAACTTTGCTCATACCAATAGTGATCATATTAACATTAAATATAGAAATTTTAAGAAAATTAATGTCGACGAATTTAAAGCACACATGGCACAGGTGCCATGGTCTGTTATCGAGGTGTTCGACAGCATTGACGATTCATGGGACTCTTTTAAAGAGTTGTTTTATGGTGTTGTCGACAAACAAATACCAATAACAGAAAAACGTGTTAGTGCAAAATCCGAACAATGGATTAATGATGATGTACTTAGTGAAATGCACACACGTGACTATTTACACGAACAAGCAAGAAAATCCAAGTTAGATACGGACTGGGACTTGTACAAGGCAGCCCGTAACAGGGTCGTGACTAAAATAAAACAAACTAAACGTGACTACTTGGATGAAGCGATGTTACAATGTTCTAAAAACTCCAAAGATATGTGGAAGAAAATAAAAGAATTTTTACCGTCCTCTAAAGCATGCAACGCCCCATATCTAAATGTAAATGGAGAAAATGTTACAGAAACAATCGATATCGCAAATGCATTTAACGATTATTTTTGTAACATTGGTGTTGAAATTGGACGTAAATTTGACTCAAGTTTACCGAATGTACAATTTGGTATTAAAGTTGAACAAAAGTTTAATATTCCTTTAGTGAATTCTGAATTTGTAAAAAAAACAAATATCAGAATTACGTGATGGAAAAGCCACTGGAATTGATAGCATTTCTGTAAAACTCCTAAAACTTGCAGGTGAATTAATCATTCACCCTTTAACCTATATTTTTAACAAAATCCATCAGTTCTGGTTCATTTCCAAAAGACTGGAAGAAAGCCAAATTCACCCCAATATTTAAAGCCGGGGACATGACCTCTGTAAATAACTATCGACCTATTTCTGTCCTCTCTGTGGTTAGCAAAATATTAGAGAGACATGTACATAACTCTTTTTATAAATATTTGTCATCAAATGAACTTCTAACTGAATCCCAATATGGTTTCAGACCTCAACGTTCAACAGAAACGGCCCTCACAGGTTTAGTAGACGAGTGGTCAAAAAATATTGATGACGGTAAATTCACGTAAAGCATTTGATATCGTAAATCATAAAGTGCTCTTGCATAAGCTTAATGCTTACGGGGTTTCTGATATAGCATTGAACTTTTTCGAATCATACCTTTCTGGTAGAGTGCAAGCGGTAAACTTTAAAGGTACTTTATCAAGTTGTAAGGAAATAAACATCGGTGTCCCCAAGGGTTCGATACTTGGGCCACTATTTTTCATCTTGCATATGAATGACTATCCAACATGTTTGAAACATTCATCAGTTGTAATGTACGCTGACGACACATCACAGGGTGTAAAAGGTGATGCAGTTGATGATGTCGAAGAAAAGTTAATAGTTGACCTTGAATTAGCAAGTGAGTGGATGACCAATAATAAAATGAGTCTAAATCTAACAAAAACCCAATGCATGCTTATTGGCTCATCACAAAAATTATCAAAACACAGACAGATGCGTGTCAAAGTGGGTGATATAATTATTGAAACTGTACACAATGCCAAACTACTGGGAGTTTTTATTGACAGCTGTTTGTCATGGAATGTACATATTGAATATGTATGTAAGAAATTATCAAAGAAAATTGGAGTGTTAAAACGAATCAGAAAATTCATGTCCCAAGAAATGTCCAAAATGGTGTATACGACTATTGTTTTACCTCATTTTATGTACTGTTCTTCAGTATGGAGCAATCCTACAAATGTGTCGCTTAAGGAAAGAATATTTAAACTTCAAAAAAGAGCAGCAAGAGTAATTCTAAATATAAGAGAAATTCGTACACCAACTTCGTTACTTTTAAAGACTTTAAACTGGATGCCTATTCACGATTTTTATACTTTTAGAAAATGTGTTCTAACTTATAAAATCCTTAACGACCAGGCTCCAGGATTTTAAAAACAAAATTTATTTACCTATGTAACCCAGATTTCCACAAGAACCACAAGATCTTCTGCGAAGAACCAGCTCTATATCCCAAAGTGTAGAACAAGTTTTTACAAAAAATTCTTTTAGATACACTTGTACTCTTTTATGGAATACTTTGGAAGAAACCATGCGAACCACAACAAATGTTCTGGCTTTTAAAAAGGCATATCTGGCCAATTATTTTAAAAATACTAGATCATGAATACCATGTGTTACCGGCGGACCAAGTAGGTAGGGGATTCCCAATCACTGGGAAAACAGGTACTATATGGTATATACTATATGTATATTTTAAAGTACAATATTTGAAATTATCCCTATGGTTCTGTTTAATATAATTTCCAGAGATAATCCTTATATTACCCTGTGATAAATATATGTATGTATTGACTTGTAATACACTGTGATATTTTCTAATGTTCTAAATGCAATTCTGTGTTATTTAGTGATACAATATAATAGGTTGCCTTAATAATGTATTGTACTATTTAACTGCTTTTTCTATTTTATTGTATGTCATATGTCTCTGTATGCGTGATGTGCTGTTGTTTTATGTATGTATATATAATGTGTTTTACAGGGCCATATTGTAAACTAGATGAAAATCTAAATATGTTACCCTGTCTAAATAAAAGAATTTATTATTATTATTATTATTATTATACAACTGTTACCTGCCTATGCGATGCAGCCATATCAGTCAATCTTTCGGTTATATATAATATGTGTGTAATTCAAACAATCCGTTAGGGGTATAGGGGGTGTTGGCCAATATCACAACCTTCGATCACGATAAAGTGGATTAGCCTCAATATCCAAAGCCGATTATAAATACAGCACTCATACATACCGCTTAGTGCTATATTGTGTTGATCAATTACAGGGCGTTTTCAGAATATTTAAAGTAGTTTGTTTGAAATAACCTGGTGAGAATTGTAAATGATTTAACTCTCTCTACACTTGACTGAGCAGATTAAATGTTGAGGCAATTTTAAAAATTCTGATATTTAAGAAAGATATTTTGGAAAAAAATCTGAATGTCTTTATTACAGTTATAGTGGATTAATATATCGTGTATGAACGATTTTAATCCGGTACTGTTCATAAACCACGCGAGGCTCAGGTACACAAGATGGCCGAACCCGTGATGGACGACGGAAGAAGACGCGGACGGGCTGATTTATGTGACAATGACGGCGAGACGATACACATAGTAATCGTGTGAAGATGTTGTTGAGCGTGTCCGTGGTACTGCTGTCTATATGTATTGTGAGAGGGGACCCGGTCGGGTGTACGTACTACGAATCAGACCTGGAATACGAGTGCACTGCCAGGAGCTGGGTGCTCCCTCTAGCTCTATCAGACTTTAATCACGTTCCCCAAAGTCTTTCTATGATTGATGTCAACGGAGATCTCCCGACAGCAACATTTTCAGGGTTTGACGTCATCAATACGACGTTGTTTGACGTAAATTTCGTACCAACATTTACCATCCGTTGTTATACGTCTGGAATATTGATGTATCACGCCGGCACCTTTACCGGACTCGGCTACTTCAAGGAGGTCCATATCCAGAACTGTGAGGTGATAGCTATGCCAGATGCAGCCTTACAAGACTTTGGTGACCTGAATTACTTTGGGTTGGAGAATGGTGTAATTGGTGATATTGGTTATGACGCTTTCAAAGGACTTAATGTACACACTATGACGGTTCCCCGTCCGCTCGGAACATTTAAACTGACGTCAAAGTTGGACTCGAGAGTAATACCAAATGGGGTGTTGTATGCACTCGCTAATGTGACGAACTTTGTGATAGACGGTGCCAACGTGGATACTTTACAAGCCGATATGTTTCAAGCCGCCACCAAACTTCGGCATTTATCATTAAAAAATAACCTGTTTACGTCTCTTCACAGTAGTATGATCTCAAATATGAAGGGACTCCTCACTCTCAGCCTGGACGGAATCGAGTGGGAATGCACGTGTGATAATTTGTGGTTCCTAGATTACTGTCGGACCAATAACATCTCGCTACATGGACCCGTGATATGTGGTTCTCCTAGCAGCTACATAAGTATGTATAAAACGTCATAACTGGTATGTAATTACCTAAATATTGTCAACGGTAACATATTGTCATTATGTAGCTTGCATTTCGCTAGTGTAGGTATTTTGTTTTTGACATGAAAACGCAAAAACTTCATGAAAATGATTTGCTTTATCTATGGAATATAATCATGGCAGGTCTTGGATTTCCTTGAATGTTTTGGTTTGGATTATAGGATTTAACGTCCTATTAACAGTTAATGTCATTAAAGGACTTATCTTCGTGTGTGTAAGTATACGTCCATATCTGTATGTGTGATGGAGGCTGACTATGTTGGTGAGTGTGCCTCCTTGTAATAGTGCCGAACTGTTGCCGTCTGTAAGAGTGATACCTCACTGAAATACCATGTCGAAAGCATCCAGCACAGTAGTCCACCAGGTCACATCATTCTGGAAGGGCCGCGATAGCCGATTGGTTGAGTTGTCTGACTGTCAACGATAACTAGCCCTCCACCACTCGGTCGCGGGTCCGAGGCCTTCGTGGGGCAGTCGCCATGTACTAGTCGTTGGTCTGTACTCCGTATTTCTACACCAGCAAAACCTGGCTCTCTTAACAAACCAAACCACATTATAGTGACATGGGATAAAGCAGTTGGTGCGACGATTACCTATAAAACTGAACGTTTTACAAGGAAACAAAAGCTTCCATTTTTAAAGTCTTTAGTATGTCCCGACCTGGGGACAGAACCCATTGCCCATCCATTTGGTCGAACCCTAAACAATAAGGTCAAACGTGAGGTATTGCCAAGCAATGCACTATAAAACAAAATACTTGCCAGAGAGAAGAAAGGAAATATAAAGACCACATGTTGTAAAGTAGTCAACAGATCAAGTTTGGTTTTTTTCAGTATTCCCTAAGCAGAACACAGAGAAGGCAAACCCCTATTCTGTAGCCCAGTTGTTGTTTTATATCCTTTTATTGTCTTTACGTCCAGTTGGCGAAGTTACTTTTGTAAGATGTCTCTTAAAATCATACTGCTGTCTTTCTTTTGTTAACTTACTCTCCGTTTCCTATTATTGTTTTTTTCGTTTTGACACAATTCTTTTGTTTTTGTTTTATCTTTGTGTGGCTGAGATCTTTTTTACCTCAGCCATACTATATACGGTTTGACTTACATGTATATTGCCTGACGTAATGTTCTGAGAGTATAAATCAGGGGTTTCTTATATCCTACCTGTTACGAAGCATGTTTTTTTGTGTGAGCTAATACTTAAGTTTTTGATAAAGGATACTAGATTTTTTTTAAATCATTGTAACATCGAGGTCGACCAGACAATGCAATATGGTATAAATAAGTAATATAATATATAGAAATTTTCGCCCAGTCAAACTTTCGTCCTTCGCCCATGGAGTCAATTTTCGCCCAGTGTTAATTTCTCCCTTTACATTTCATTGCTATGCATATTATGTTTGTTTACTTATATTCGCTGTAATGATAAATAACGGAGGGCGAAAAAGACGAAAATTAAACTGCAGAAAAAACTTCCCGATATACAGTATATATATATTTATTTACACATTAGAATTTTTTCATACTATCATCACGTGGACTATGAAAAATAACTGCCAAATACTCAGTATGCTATTCTAAGACTAACATGACAAAACGTAAGAAACTTGTAACTGCCTGTTGATACATGCTTTGTTCATTACAGACAAGAGAGCGTACCTGTACAAAACGGAGCAGTGTCCTGTTGAAGTACTGGCAATTGATCCTTGTGAAGACAATTTACCAGGTAGGTATATGTTATGTTTGTAAAGTCGTTACAAAAATAACGCCATAATAAGCAGGTAGTTGACATAACAGACATTACGAAAAGAGTGACGTCATTGACATATAAGATTATCATATCTGTCTGCTGTTCATTGATGACGTCAATCGATTATAATTCGTTTGTAGAATGCGTTTACTAAAAGTTGAAATGGTATAAACGATAACGTCATGTATATATCAGACAAGATCTCAAAGAAACCATTGAACATTCTAGTGGGTTTTGGTGGTTTAATTAGAAGTAGACCACTTAAGACGAATAGCCTTGGTTCGTGCATGCATTGTTAATGGGTTTCTGGTATACTGTTGGTAGTATTAGGTTGATTGTGAACCAACCAAGTGTGCCCCCCCCCCCCCCCCTTCATGCATTGTTAATGGGTTTCTGGTATACTGTTGGTAGTATTAGTTTGATTGTGAACCAACCAATTGTTTCCCTTACTTCATATGCTGTTAATGGAAAACTAGTTTAACTTCAAAAAAGGCAGCTAGACTGTTACTAAATGTTTAAACTGTTCTTACTCCTACAAAACACTATTTGGACGTCTGATACGGATGCCTATTACATAAAACGTTGATTTCAAAAGCGCAGTGGTGGTTCAGAATGTTTCCTTTTGTCAGAAATGTAAGTTTCAGAAATACAAGCGCATCAACTTGGAACATTGTTTTATTACGAATGCTAGAACTAACTATACACGTTTTGTTTTACTTAATGAACTTGATGACAGTGTTAGAAATTCATGATTATTTTATGTAGTCTTGTCTGTTGATATGTTATGTCCAAATTATGTAACACTTGGTAAATAAAAGACATACTTTATAATGTATATATATTACAGTTATGTATATTGTATTTATTTTTGATGGTTACAGGTATTGGTGTTGGTACCACATGTTTGATTGTATTTGGTTTTGTTGGTTACAGGTATTAGTGTTGGTACCACATGTTTGATTGTATTTGGTTTTAATCGTTACAGGTATTAGTGTTGGTATCACATGTTTGATTGTATTTGGTTTTAATGGTCACAGGTGTTAGAGTTGGTACCACATGTTTGATTTTATTTGGTTTTGTTGGTTACAGGTATTAGTGTTGGTACCACATGTTTGATTGTATTTGGTTTTAATGGTTACAGGAATTAGTGTTGGTACCACATGTTTGATTGTATTTGGTTTTGTTGGTTACAGGTATTGATGTTGGCACTTTCATGTTTGATTGTATTTGGTTTTAATGGTTACAGGTATTGGTGTTGGTACCACATGTTTGACCTACTTAGACCAAGCGGTCTACCTCCTCAACGCCTTGTCTCTGTCACTGGTCATCGCCACTGTCCTTATCACTATCCACACTAAGCGACAGGAAGAGGAGAAGGACGAGCTCGAGATGAAGCCGAATGTTGAAGAGGAAAGTTTTCGGAAACTTAGTGGATCTCGCAGGAACACTGTGTCAGCTATCAGCACAGTAGAAGCAGAGGCAGCACAAGCAAGACAAGAGGATGACATTGTCGACAGCTTATTGTAGTCAATCTTATCTGGGCTTGTGGGCTAGGTTCATACAAATCATATCTTGTACAACCTTTATAAGGTCATTAATGGAGTCGGGAGTGACTGGGAAGACAGAGCGTGCTTGCCGAACAAATACGTGTTTTCTTGTTCTTACATAACATTCATTACTTGTTTGTCCCAATGCTTTCTTACATTGTTACGGAGTACGACATACATAGTATTGTATTGGTATTTGTAAAACACATAATATAGTCAATGTCTTCACTAGGTTATTAAAGAAAACAAACGGAAATGGAGGTAGATTTTGTCTTTGTCTGTTAAATGGTGTAACTAGTAACTTTTTTTGAAATAGTTTTCAATTTCACTTTAAAATGTATGGCATCATGGCCATAATATGCTACTTGTTTGGGTGAAATCGATATTTTATTTTGTAAAAAAAATGAATTATATACTACTGATACAGAAGATGCCTACATAAGATACTTACAAAGAACGTTTTTTGTTTACTAGAAAGACCTCTGAGGAAAGTGAAGGTTTTCTACAATTTTCTGTTAATGTTAAGAATAAACCGTTTGGACATGACATTGTGTTGTTTATGTATTATGATCCAGATTCCACAAAAATCCCAAAACAAAAAAAATCAACTTTCTGATGACACTTAATGACGTATACCCTTGTTGTTGTCAACCTGATTACAAGAGCAGATAACTCTGCAATACGAAAAGACGTAATTGCCAACCAAGTATTTCTTCACGTAAACAGACACAACACTAAGCGAAATCATAATTGTATGTAGTAAGCTCAAGGTACACTAGGAATTGTCAACATTTGATAAATAAATGTTTAGCTTTAATGTATCTTGACAACATCACACGTACACTACCCCGTGACAATAATTGCTGAATGAGCGATCAAATCAGATCCATAATGTCAAATAGAATTATATATCAAAAACAAAGTAATATAAGTCACAATTTATTCTTCCCACTTTATACATTTGTACATGCATACATTCTCGTATGTCCATCAAGTGATTATCTTGCTATTAACAGAAATTGTAATTGGAAAATGTTAAAAACAAATGACCACGCCCACTTTGACAGCATTGTCGTATTGCTACTGTTCCATAGATAAGAGTAACTACTTTCTCAAAAATATACTATACTCTGTTTATCTCCTTGTCGTTCCTCGTCACTAACATTTTGAATCTTGTTGGTATGCTAAAGTGTACTTGTGTTAGTGTAAAGGTGATGTATAAAGTTAGACAAGATAAAGTTTCAACAAACTTGATGGCAATTGCAAGCAACCCTACACTATCGACCTTAAAATAATTACGCAATAAAGAATTGGTTCGTTATCACACTATCATATCTTTTAAATGTATAACAAATTTTAAGCAACAAAGACATGTACAAACAATTACATTAATCGAAAGTATGGTCTAGTGTCAGAAATGGGTCAGAACAAAGAGATGTCCATTGGATGCGTATAAGAAAGTTTTATATATACGCAGAGAAGTGAAAGCGTCCGTGTGAACAATACAAATAGTTTTAGGGCATCTACTCCTTTATTAGGACACAAATGTGAAACAATTAGACATGTCACAAAATACGAAATTAAGAACGGTATTTAATAAAATTAATACGGTGCTAAAATGATACGAGAATAATTAGTGAGGATTACATCTAGCACTGCTTCAACAAAGTACCAATGTTGATTCTCTGACTAAATCCCTTTAAAATGTAATTTTACTAAATAAGTTTTTTTCTGTTGATATCCTTTCAAGTAATATATATCAAAATAGATTTGAGTAATACAACTTAGATAAACTGTTATTTTGTATAACTTATTGATTTTTTTTTATATATTTTTTATCTCCTATACATTACCTGTAAATAAAATGTATCCAGTTTTAGAAGACTGATAATGACATGTTTTGTCATTTGTGAAAAAGGTTTTTATTATATACATGTATATACAATTATTTATCATGCACTTTCTTTTAATTTTCTAGGTTTATGACACTATTGTATCTGTAATATACTTTAATAATGAAATGAGGAATATCATTAGTATCAACGATAATGTCAAAGAAAATGTTGAAAGCCATTTCTTCACTAAATATTGAAAAGATGTTTCTTTTGTTGAGTGTGGAAAAGAAAAGTACAAATAAAATTTATCTAAGATAATTATTAAGTAACTATGAAATAGGAAAATACATGAAACAACAAATGTTTAGTGACTAACAACACTACGTAGTTGAAAACAAATACAAACAAACTCAAACTTACAGGAATAATCTATAAAATGGTAGGAAAACAACGTACATTATAGTATTACATCCACACACTACTTTCTGGATAAAACATCAATTCAATTTGAACCCTCGAAAAAATGTTGTCAAAATACCCTTACAATATATTTTCTAATGGAACTTCTTTAAGGTTTTAAAAAATGGCTTTAGACTACATTATCAATGTCCTCGTCATTTGGTTGAATGTGACAACACGTTTTCAGCCAAAAAGTGCAAAGAAGTTGCAAGATAAATTGAAAAAGAAATTTAATAGGATTTCCATGCCTAACTTGAGAATATCTCAAATTGGTCTGGTTTTCAAATCAGATGGAGGATGCCGACTTATAGTACACCTCTCACAACCCCGACTGGAAGTGTAAATGCTTACATCGATCAGGAATTGTGTTCTGTTTGGTATTGAACTTTTGACCAAGTGGTAGAGATAGCAAGTATACAAGATAATGGTCTTAGGTTTAGGAAGGTGAATATAACCTCCAGATGACTTTGAGCAGTAAAACTTTGAGGAAGGAGAACATTGTAAATTGAAAACTGCCTCCCATTGGATTTCGATATACTGCTCTATTTTCGATATTTGTTTTTCAATATTTTTTGAATGGGCAGTTCAAATGGCTATTTGGACGATTTCGACTCTATGTTTGACAGATAACTCCCAATTAGTGATTGTCAGCAACTGTAGAACCGGTGGATTCTTTTACAGTGTGATTAAGGAAAGGAAATTGATAATGTTACAATATTTAACTAGGTCAGCTCCAACAGGTAAGAAGATGTGGTTTAATGCGTTTGAACACGTTAAATGGAACAAGTGATTTGTCGAAGTATTTGACTTTGTTGACATTAAAATTTTGGCATTCACAGTGGGTGCTAGCGCGGAGCTGATGATATTAGGATCTTAATTTAAAGGGAACCAGATATTATCGGCTAGGCAAGAGCACTTGAAAGGCAAGGTCATCATATTTGACATTTTATTTTAGAGCTTGACACAAAACAATTGTCTTTTAACATTTAGGGAACAATGGATCGTTTTTAGAACTGACAATATGTATCTGGTTGTCATTATAACCAATCAAACACCACTATCTGGTTATATAATGTGTTTTGTTTGGGAATTAGTTGATAGCACGACGCAAAGCAAGAAGTACCAATGGAGTTACATATTCTATTTCGCAAAAATAGTATAACAGTTCCAGACTTCATTTCCCAAGAAATAGCGATTTGGATAAAACTGCTTTTCTAGCTGTTTTTTAGCAGTTGCTATCAAAGTGAAGTTGGCAGATTGACTAAAGCATTTTTGTCCCAATATTTTAAGTTCGTTTTATGCACTTTCCTAACCGCAGCACAGGTATTGTAGGGTAATATACAGTGGTGTCACAGCACAGGTATTGTAGGGTAATATACAGTGGTGTCACAGCACAGGTATTGTAGGGTAATATACAGTGGTGTCACAGCACAGGTATTGTAGGGTAATATACAGTGGTGTCACAGCACAGGTATTGTAGGGTAATATACAGTGGTGTCACAGCACAGGCATTGTAGGGTAATAAACAGTGGTGTCACAATTTTGAAAAAGCATCAAGTTCAGAACTTAATGATTTCACCAGTTAGTATTGGTAAATTTGTATGATTGGTTCTGAGACTAATTGATATACACCTATTGCATGGATCAGGTTAAAAGAAATGACAGGAGGCTGTGGCAATACACGCCATTTATAAAAGAGTCTATTAATAGTATTTAATGTGTTGCCGATTTTCATTGATACCTGTGATGATAGTCCCGTGCCAAACGGTCGACTTAAAATAACAACTCATATTTTCGTGGCTGAGTTAATTTCGGTATCTAAACAAGCTGAATGACTGCAATCAACTTTTTAATTACATACACCATATCCATTAAATCGTTTTAATAAATTCATATAACGCAACGTTGTACATTACATAGCCTATCTTACCAGTTATCGACACATCGGTATAACTCGGGAAGACGGAAGTGTGACTTCTCTCGAGTCTCTGAAAACTGCCGTAAAAAATACCGATAAGTGCCGAGGTGTCCTAGTGAAAATGCCGAGGTGACCCCAAAACAGTACCGAGGTGTCTCGAACCGTAAGTGCCGAACTCTCCAAGTGCCGAGATGACCTGTTACCATATGTAATATCTAAGAATTTAGTTCATTATATATCCGTTAATTCAATGTTGTTTTTTCCCCATTTTCATATGAGAAAGAACCGTTTTTTTTTTATATTAATACTGGTTTTATTCGGGTTTTAAATAGAGAACTCTTTTATCAAGAAGATTTATGAAGAAAGTGAAATAGAAATAGACGGAATTCATTATGGCATTAAAAAATATATAAATAACTAATGATACTATTCGAATTTTAACCATTATTTTCTTTAATGCTGGGAATTCAGTGTATTTTAAGAAAGGGAAGAAATGACTGAAGAATTTAACTTCCAAAAGTTGTAATGCAATATACACTGTATGGGCAGAGATATGTAAAGCCAGTACATGTATCTGATATGGGAGCTAACTCCGGGCACCTTGCAGGTCTTTTATTGGTAAAAAATCTATAATTATGTCAAGAGCTGGTACTGAATTCTTTTGTGCATAAATACGATCAAAACATATATATGATAAACATGCAGGGTTAAATTGATTATTGAACAGCTTTGTTTTTGAAAACTTTACAAAATAATTCAGAACTATATTTTGTCAATTATACTCTGGACGGAAGTGCGTATGAATTCTATTGGATACTAGATTGTTTGAAAATGGCGACCTCCGGAGGCGTAGCGGGGCTCGTGGACTTAATTTCGTATTAAAAATGTCCAAATAGTGCAGAATGTGGCGACAAAAACTCATGACATCATGGTGATGCTTATTTATTGAGTTTCTTTGGATTTTCGTGTAAAGTGAAAGAATGGCGTCACCAGAAACACCCGAAGCGATGGTAAGTTGACGTCATGCAAAAATATGTCGAAGATGTTTTCACACCTACTGGCAAACAATGCTTTTGTCATGCATGATTGATCATGTAATATGCACTTGCATAAATAAAGCATAAACTTGTATTGATTTCAGTACGCTCCGTTACATAGAGATTTGTCTGCACATAACTATATATATAAGTTCGTGTCATTTCTCCATTTGGCTACCGCTTTTTTAAATTGTTAAATTGCCCGTCTCGTTCCGCTGTCCAAACATGTATTGATATGCTCTACACACGGAACTCGGGCTAACTAGGTTGGAAATAAATCGGTAATCTCTGAGCCCTAATCGATTAAGTAGGTACAGTAAACACTCTCTGTCTGACTAATCTGAGACCTGAAAGTGTTCTGGCTGATATAAAGCATGATCACACATGCTTTTGTCAGTGAAGACGAACCGACAGTGTGATCCATTACCGTATCAACATATCACCATTTATTGTAGAAATTAGTTTATACAAAATGTAATTTGGTTTTATTGCACATTTTGTGTTAAGATTGATTGATTTCCCAGAGTTTGATCACTCTTTTCATTGAATTTGTTAAAGTGTTTTCCAATCCTTTATCTGCGATCTATAATAGAGGTAATGTATTTTACCATTTTTTTTTCAATTAAGAGACCGCGATAACGACAGATATAGATTTAAATATAAATTCAACACAATTATTGGCACATATGGGATCATGAGACAAATTTTGAAAATGGTGGTGAAAAAACTCAAAATCTTTTAGTTCTAAATGTTTAAAATTCCATTAAAAAATGCATCTTGTAATTCTAAAGTTCATTTACATTAAAACATTAATTTTACCCTTCAGCAAATTCAGGTCTATTTGTGATAAAATCACTAATAAAGATGTGTATTTCTTCACATCGTTAATATTGTAATCAGTGTTTATTTAAGCAATTCATTTTTAGCAAATGTTATGGTCTTGTAATACACATAAAAAACTGGTAGGTACAAAATGTAAGATTTATATATATTTCTTTCAAATAGTCAGGATCCTGTGCCGTGGTTTGCTTAAATATGATACAGGGATGTGATTACAATAAACACTGAGCAAATGGTCCATTGGGTGGATTTTAAATTCTAATCTCTGGTGTGAAGCTTGTCAACTGTTTGATATTGGTGCACCAACTAACAATTTGTATCGTGGATGTCCCTGTAACTGAGTTGATAGCAGTGTTTTGTGATCTCGATAAACTGAAGGAAAGTTTTGAAGCCACTTAGGCACTAAAAGTGACTGGTAAGTAAACCATGTAGACAAACACTGATATAAAAACAGTCCGGCAATAAAACAATAACAATTTAGAGCTATAAATAAAGTTTATATTACCAGACACTTGAAGCCCTCAAAATTTCAATCAAAAGATACAAAAGTAATTTTGCTAATCACTTGTAATAAATTAAATTAACCTTGAACATATTATATTCATATTAAATTGATCATTCCCCTGTGACAAAGTTAACGTTATTTACTGTCTGCAATGAAGTTAAGTGGCCATGGAGCAAGTTTAGTGGAATCAGAGTGTCCTTGTAACTGTCTGTCCTAAATTGTATGCTGGCCAATATGATCAGTACCTTAGAAAAGTGTGCCTCCGCAATAATTTTTTTATATCAGTGACTTTGTTGGAGTAATGTCCTATATATGTACCTTTATCTATTGGTGATCTATATAGTCACCTGTTTTTATTTTTCGAAAAAATATTTTTTGTTTCAATTGAAAACACATCCTGGCTGTACTAAGTTGGTCATGTTGCGTGACAATCTAGGGTAGGAAGTAACACTAAACAGACATTCTTTTAAAGTTGTATTTTAACCCCACCTCCCCCAATTGTGCCCCGTCAAAAAATAAAGGGTTGGAAAATTATAAAAAATATAGTAAGTTTTACACATTGCAATCGTTATTATTAAATCACACAAAAGAATTTGAAAGTGTGAATCCTAGTTCACAAACCTTATTGCTGAAATTGCTTTTAAACTTGTGCAGGTGCACATACATGTTTTATATGGATTCCTTTTGTGTTACATAACAGACTTCATAGTGACATTTAACCACATAAAATCTCTTTTGTGGAACCATTTATTGTGGTTGGGGACTTTATTTTCAAAGGGGAAATTGTTTCAATATCTGTTCTTATATATATATATATATATACCTACCAAAGGATGAGTGTCTTCGGTATTAATAATTTCAAAAACCTTTGTTGTTTTTCTACCAAAATGTCAGAAACTAGTATAACACAAATAGCTGTTTATCACAGACAAATTTATAATATCAAAATGTTTATTCCCTGTTAAGAATCACAGCCACAGATAAGAGTTGATATTCTATGTTTATAACCACATACATGTACTCTGATTGCTGTTGATATTCCATGTTAAGAACCACAGACAGATTTCGAAAATGATCACTGATAGTAATTTGCGTGAACATATAATATCACAATTTTCAGTAAACCTTGCTAATTATGTACTGTCATCACCACAGACTTAGGTGATAGGTTGAGGGAAAGGTTCACTTCTCATGGTTTGCCACTTATATTTAACATGCAGGAACACATTTATTTTTCTGTAACAGTATACACTTTGTAAAAAAATGATTAAAATTATCATCTGTCATGTACATATTTAAGGTAAGCTGTGTGATTTGACATGTGGCGACAGATTTTCTATTGAATTTTTATCAAATAATGCTCTGTGTCTTTTGAAAAAAGTGTTTTTATATTTTTTATCACAAAGATAGCAAACTTAATTAAATCATTTCAAAAATGTTCTCATACAATTATATTATATAACATTTAATTTCAAGGTTGTTGCGAGTTTGTTAATTGTCAGCGCAGTCTTTCTAGATTTACTAAGGTTATATAAAAGGAGACAGATTATCAAAAAATGCTAAGATAATCAGGACTGTACCATTATAGAATAAGACATACAATTACACGTTAAATCTGTATGTACTTGGTGTTACATTGCATGCTTATTTCAATACAAACCTAACAATTTTATACCAAGGAATATTTTAAAATTACATTTTTTTTTTGTAAAATGGATTTAATTTTACGATGTTATTTTTTAGCTTTTTGCCCTTTAAAATTATATGGTACCCGCTTACATCATATCTGTTTTTGTGTGAGAGCTTATATTCCCAAATCATTTTAAGTACCGGGTACTTTGTAATATAATCTCACAATTTTCAAAATTACCTTAATGTACCTGTGTCAGAAGTTAATAGTTTTTGTGTGTTTACAAAAAATATATTTCATTGATACCATTATTTCATTGAGATAGACCACATTACCGTTAAAAAGGATATTTTAACGATTTATTATCATTACACGAATTTGGAAAGAAATTTTATCTTTAAGATATATTTGTCAAAATTTCACTGTACTGGATCATTCTGTATTATATGTATTAAAGGATGTTTTCAACACATTGAACAATTGGACAGCACTTATTCCTGTAAATCTGTCTTAGTAATTTTTTCTGTTTTTTTTTTCACCAAATAATGGCCTTTCCCCCATAATATTAAACTATTAATTCCACAATTTTCAATAGCTGCATATTAAAAAAAAAGCGTTAAAAAACATGTAACATAATGTAAAATTCATCAAAGTCACATTTAAAAATGTTATCATATATTTTTTTCACTTAAAGAATAAGGTAAAGGACACATTCACTTGAGAAAATTGCTATGTCTTATCCTAGGTTGGGAAATTAGCGTAGACTACACGTATCTAGAATTGTTCCTTAGCGTAGACTACACATATCTAGGATTGTTCATTAGCGTAGACTACACATATCTAGGATTGTTCCTTAGCGTAGACTACATGTATCTGGGATTGTTCCCTAGCTTAGACTACACGTATCTAGAATTGTTCCTTAGCGTAGACTACACATATCTAGGATTGTTCCCTAGCGTAGACTACACATATCTGGGATTGTTCCTTAGCGTAGACTACACATATCTGGGATTGTTCCTTAGAGTAGACTACACATATCTAGGATTGTTCCCTAGCGTAGACTACACATATCTAGGATTGTTCCCTAGCGTAGACTACACATATCTGGGATTGTTCCTTAGCGTAGACTACACATATCTGGGATTGTTCCTTAGCGTAGACTACACATATCTAGGATTGTTCCTTAGCGTAGACTACATGTATCTGGGATTGTTCCCTAGCTTAGACTACACGTATCTAGAATTGTTCCTTAGCGTAGACTACACATATCTAGGATTGTTTCTTAGCTTAAACTACACGTATCTAGAATTGTTCCTGAGCGTAGACTACACATATCTAGGATTGTTCCTTAGTGTAGACTACACATATCTGGGATTGTTCCTTGGAGTAGACTACACATATCTAGGATTGTTCCTTAGCGTAGACTACACGTATCTAGGATTGTTCCTTAGCTTAGACTACATGTATCTGGGATTGTTCCTTAGCTTAGACTACACGTATCTAGAATTGTTCCTTAGCGTAGACTACACATATCTGGGATTGTTCCTTAGCTTAGACTACACGTATCTAGGATTGTTCCCTAGCGTAGACTACACATATCTAGGATTGTTCCTTAGTGTAGACTACACATATCTGGGATTGTTCCTTAGCGTAGACTACACATATCTAGTATTGTTCCTTAGTGTAGACTACACATATCTGGGATTGTTCCTTGGAGTAGACTACAAATATCTAGGATTGTTCCTTAGCGTAGACTACATGTATCTAAGATTGTTCCTTAGTGTAGACTACACATATCTGGGATTGTTCCTTAGCGTAGACTACACGTATCTAGGATTGTTCCTTAGAGTAGACTACACATATCTAGGATTGTTCCTTAGCATAGACTACACGTATCTAAGATTGTAAATGTTCCTTAGCGTAGACTACACGTATCTAAGATTGCTCCTTAGCGTAGACTACATGTATCTAGGAATGTATCTAGGATTGTTCCTTAGCATAGACTTCACGTATCTAGGATTGTTCCTAAACTTGATATAAACCCTGGAAAGACGTTTTATCATATACATTTTGGTTTTGTATATGAAAATAATTTAATAAAACCTGTTGACACCCAATGAAAAGTAGAGGAGGCTTATTAGCAAGCATGGGCTTAACTTTGGCAACATACCGTACTAAGCCTTATCCCAGGTAAAGTACTGATACTTGTTGAAATTCTCACTTAAAAGGGTAAAAATGTTGTTGTTGACATTCAAGACACCTTTCTGGACAGAAGTGCTGAGGGTGTGAATTTTAACAGGTAAATCACAGTTCTCTATTTATTATGGTAGTGAAATTGACTCCACACAGTGAAGGTTTTAAGCCCCCGGTATGATTAAGTGGACCTTCTCATTCCCAACTAATCCGTCAATACATTGACAGGTCAGAAGGAATGTCAACACAGCCAGCCTGTCTCGAGACATCTTTGCCTTATCCAGCTGGTTAGTCCTACCCCGAGACCTTTCCTTGCAGATTGTTACCAATGCCCAATTAGATATATGTACATACATACCAAAAAAAATAAAAAAAATACATGTATTACTAGTCAGCTTTGTACAGTTTTGCGTATTGGTTTGGGCTTTGTGGGGAAAAAAATGTAGTTTCTACTCAATTATCATCAATATATATATATAAGTTCTTTGTTTCAAATAAAATATTGACTTTAACTTAATGTTATACATGATACAAAAATTGTTGATTTTGGGTAATGAGTTTTACAGGTGCTTGAACAATTCTCAAACTACAGATTTCTGTTGCTAACTGTATAAGTGAAGGTGATTTTATTTATTGCTATTTTTTCAAAAATCCCTTTTTTATAGTACATGCATGCACAGTGGTACATACATTATTTGATACATTTTCGTCATTTTGTATTTTTGATAAAGTTACACGTGAGGAGATTTAGTTTGTATGACTTTGTACACATTTTTATACGCCCGTCAAATTTGACGGAAGTATTATGGTATGGGGTTGTCCGTCCGTCCGGTGTAAACTTTTGTTTGTCCGGCAATCTCCTCCTTCATTTTTCGACCGATTTCTTTGAAACTTAGTATACCGGTACATTATAATCATGATATGAAATTGTGTCCCCCTTAAAAGAATTTTGATTGGACAATTTTTCCAAAAGTTATTGCCCTCTGTTCATTTCAGTATTTTATTTTTGTCCGAGGATCTCCTCCTACATTTTTTGACAAATTTCTTTGAAACTAAGTAGACTAAATAATCATGATATGTTGTTGTGTTTCCTTGAACAGAATTTTGATTCAACAATTTTTGCAAAAGTTATTGCCCTTTTGTTTATTTCAGTATTTGATATTTGTCTGGCAATCTCCTCCTACCTTTTTCAACGGACCTCTTGGCATTCGACGGGCGTTATTGTTCCGCCCCGCGATACTCTTGTTATAATGTGTAATTGCATGGACCTGTTTCTTTGAGTTGTTGTATATTTCAGAGTTCAGTTGACTATAATTTAATCTTATATAAGGATAACAACCTAATCAACGATCAACCACATCCACTGGCATAGAAGTATTAATGTAAAAAACGCACCAGTTTATTTCTAGATCTAGTTATAAACATTTTTTTTTTAGGAAGGACTCCTTGCAGTACTTCATTATAGGAAGACGGGAGATATTTTGTCACTTTAAACAATTCAAATCTGAAGATTCTAAATTTCATTTGATTCATACAATAATGTGTCCTGGATACTCCAGGGGTTACACTCACTTTCGCTCTCTGCACCCCTGTAGTGGGAATATGTCATAACACAATCGAAGGCTGTGCGCCATGTTGAGGATGACTAGTTTGATCCTTTGATGTAAATCAAAAGAATCTGTAAGTTGCGTAACGGCTGAATTGACAGGCTTTGCAGCCGGTTGTCACTCGATCCTTTGAAATCTTCTAAGGACAGTTATCAGCCTTAGGATTGGTCAGTTTTTTTTACCTGACACTAATCAAATTGCTTATAGCCGGGTGCTTTCAATTTTGCCATGACATATAACATGGGTGCACAGAGTGAAAGTGAGTGTAACACCTGGATTATTGAGGATGACAATAATGAACAATCAAGACATGCAAAGAAAAAGTATATTAGGAATATCTGTTTTTGCAAGTTGTCAAATTATCTTAATAGTTTTGAAGAAAAAGGCATCTTTTTATAGAATATTTGAACCTGTCAACAGACCTTTAACAAGGAATACAAATCCCTGAACAAACTCGACAGGCTTGCATATACCGTTGTGTAGACTGTTATAATGTTGTGTACTTTACTCATTACATGCTGGAGTCAGACCGTTATTCATAAACCTGAATGTCAGTGGTGTGATCAGTAGCTTGTTTACTGATCTCCAGGAGATTAGTCCTTGTCAGAAATTTCAGCACCTTAATACCTATGTATGTGTGGCAGGAATTGCTGTCCTTGCAATATAGATTAATATAACAGCTAACATATCATCCTAACTCACACCCACCTCCCTGTAAATACCACCCACCTCCCTGTAAATACCACCAACCTCCCTGTAAACATCACCCACCTCCCTGTAAATACCATGCAGCTCCCTGTAAAAACCACCCACTTCCCTGTAAACACCACCCACCTCCCTGTAAACATCACCCACCTCCCTGTAAACACCATGCAGCTCCCTGTAAAAACCACCCACTTCCCTGTAAACACCCCCCCCCTCCCTGTAAACACCATGCAGCTCCTGTATTGATTGCTGCTATGAATACGGTTGTTTGTCAAGTGAATGATGGGGCAATATGTCTCGAAACAAAAGTTGGAGAATCTGAGATAAGGGCGACATAAAGTGAAGCATGAAGTTATACAAGACTTAACACAGAGAGTGCATGTTATATGTAAACATGTAAACTCACAACACTTTTAAATACCTTATCATTTTATGTAGAAAAAAATGATCTGTTGCACCCTGCACCCTTACTAGCAAGAATGCTGTATATTTTGAGCCACATGCTGCTTGGTTTGTAGTCATTAAAGGTGTAACAGTCAGACTTAATTGTGCTGTCGTGTGTCGCATTACAGATCAGTCTCAGATACAGTCCGTCTCTGAGATCAGAGAAAGTGTGCAAGCAAGCATGCAGGAACATTTGTCGTTGCCATCATTAGATGATTCCTTTCCACCACCATTTACCATACAATCTATTGGGATGGCACAGGTTTACATCAATTATTTATCAATGTATATTGATAACATCTGGCACAGATCATGTTACATGTATATTGAGATCATGATCCATCTCGCACCAAAATGAAGTGTTGGGGGGAAAAAAAAAAAATCTGGACTGGAGATATTAGGAAAGAATTCGGATTCTACATTTGTTGTACTTGTAATAATTTAATATTTACAATAGGAAATTAGTGATAACATATTGGTTATAAATGCTCAAGAAATGCTAAATTCAAGTTTAATTAATCTTTTGCAGATAAAAATATGCAAAGGTTGCAATTGAATTAATAGAGATTCCGTATGAAATGAAATTTTGAGCAATCAATTATTCAACCTTCACCAGTAAAATAAACCTTTGTTTATATAAAAATTCTATAACATTAGCAGGATACAAATATAATGTATTTCAAAACTTAAAGGTGTACTTTTGACATGCCTGAAAAACTTTGAAATGTCACAAAACATTTAGTTTATAACTCAACATATTAAAAATGCTTAAACGTACAGAAAATAAGTTATAACCTTAGATTTTTATTAAATCAATGTTTACTGATACAGGAGCTGGAGAGTCCGGAGGATATCCGAAGGGAGATTGACCAAAAACTGGAGGAGGACGGCATGTCACACGACTGTACAGATGAGGATAAACTCCTATTGGTGTGGAAACTTTACCAACACACAGAGGTAATTAGATACTTAATGGGTCAGAAACATAACCAACACACAGAGGTAATCAGCTACTTAATGGGTCAGAAACATAACCAACACACAGAGGTAATCAATTACTTAATGGGTCAGAAATGTTCATAACAAACACAGGGAGGTAATCAATTCCTTTACAGGTCAGAAACTATACCAACACACAGAAGTAATCTATTACTAAATGGGTCAGAAATGTTAATAACACACAGAGGTAATCAGCTACTTAATGGGTCAGAAACATAACAAACACAGGGAAGTAATCAATTACTTTACAGGTCAGACACTTTTCCAACACACAAAGGTAATCAATTACTAAATGGGTAAAAAACTTTACCGACACACAGAGGTAATCAATTACTTAAAGGGTCAGAAACATAACCAACACAGGGAGGTAATCAATTACTTTACAGGTCAGACACTTTACCAACACACAGAGGTAATCAATTACTTTACAGGTCAGACACTTTACCAACACACAGAAGTAATCAATTACTAAATGGGTTAGAAACTTTACCAACACACAGAGGTAATCAATTACTAAATGGGTCAGAAATGTTACTAACACACAGAGGTAATCAATCACTTAATGGGTCAGAAATGTTACCAACACACAGAGGTAATCAATTACTAAATGGGTCAGAAACTTCACCAACACACAGAGGTAATCAATTTCTTAATGGGTCAGAAATGTTACTAACACACAGAGGTAATCAATTACTTAATGGGTCAGAAATGTTGCTAACACACAGAGGTAATCGGATACTTAATGGGACAGAAATGTTACTAACACACAGATGTAATCAATTACTTAATGGGTCAGAAATGTTACTAACACACAGAGGTAATCAGATACTTAATGGGTCAGAAATGTTACTAACACACAGAGGTAATCAATTACTAAATGGGTCAGAAACTTCACCAACACACAGAAGTAATTAATTACTTAATGGGTTAGAAACTTTACCAACAAACAGAGGTAATCAATTACTAAATGGGTTAGAAACTTTACCAACACACAGAGGTAATCAATTTCTTAATGGGTCAGAAATGTTACTAACACACAGAGGTAATCAATTACTTAATGGGTCAGAAATGTTACTAAGACACAGAGGTAATCAGTTACTAAATGGGTCAGAAACTTCACCAACACACAGAAGTAATTAATTACTTAATGGGTCAGAAACTATTCCAACACACAGAGGTAATCAGATACTTAATGGGTCAGAAACATTACAAACACAGGGAAGTAATCAATTACTTTACAGCTCAGACGTTTTACCAACACACAGAGGTAATCAATTAAATGGGTCAGAAACTTTACCAACACACAGAGGTAATCAATTAAATGGGTCAGAAACTTTACCAACACACAGAGGTAATCAATTAAATGGGTCAGAAACTTTATGGGTCGGAAACTTTACCAACACATCGAGGTAATCAGTTACTTAATGGGCCAGAAACTTTACCAGCACATCAAGGTAATCAATTACTTATAGGGGTCAGAAACATTACCAACACAGAGGTAATCAGTTAATTAATGAGTCGGAAAATTTACCAACACATGGAGGTAATCAATCAATAAATGAGTCAAAAATTTTACCAACACACAGAGACCTGTAATCAATTACTTAATGGGTCAGAAACTTTACCAAAAACACAAAGTTTATCATTTAATTAAGGAGTCAGAAATCTTTACCAACACACGAAAGTCATGGTAATGAATTGAAAATATCATAATATGTGATTGATTTGGATCTTTAATGCAAGAGTAATTTGAGAGGTTTTAAAAAAAGTTAATACAAATCTAATTTTGTCTTTTGTTGAATCACTATGACCTGTAGTACATATGTACAGGTCTTACACATTGTTATTGGTAGATTTATCAAGTTATTTATGTCGAAACTGGCCCACAATAGAGAAATGAAGACAATTCTATGTGCCACACTGGTATGAAATGATACACAATGTTTGACAGTAATTGGCTTTAGGTTTGTGCTAATTTCAGTTTTTACCGGTCATCAATAACGGCAGAGTTGCTAACAACTACCAGTGTATCTAACTACCATTATTCCCAACTAGGCTTTTATCACCTTAATTCTCTCCAGTTTGTTGCTGCAATGAGTATCAAGGACATTTGGATTGTTCAGCAATAATAAGCATCAACAAAATTCTGTAATAATAACAAAATAAGTAGAGCCTAACTTAAGGCAGCGTTGAACATAGAACACAGTGAGTGACTGGTTAAATTTTGTATTCACTTTAAAAGGATTCTGATGAATTCCTGACCCCACCTGTTTAAAGCGACTTTATTGGACATAAATCATAAATATTGGATATCCTCTTTCGTTGTAACGTGTTTAAACAAGTTGAAGGATACAAAAAGTTCTCAAATTAAAATATTGAAAAAAAAAAAAAAAATGCAGAAATATGATATTTTTGTTCTATTAGTTATATCCTTTTGTACAACTTCTTCCTCTATATGCCTGACTTTATAATGAGCTGTTATTCATATATGGCAATATTAAATGCCACACATTTTCCTATATACCTCATTGGTTGAATCATATAAGCATGTGGAGGTCAGTGATTTGTGGCACTGACTCAGTGTTATTATTTGTAGAAAAATTAGTTTAGTATTGACTTTATGCCGTAATTTTGATTGTAAAATGTCACAATACTCTGTTCCAAATGCAATACATCCTCCTGATCATTTTGACCTCAACTTCGTCTCGGTTATTATAACTTTCTCAGGTCTATATAACCACATATTCACCTCAAGGCAAGTCCATAATTGATAAATATTGTACATATGTACATGTCACTAGATCCTGGAGACTGTTAATTTCATGCTTTCTGCTGATACATCTCTAAGTTATGTGTAATCTGCCTATTCCAAAAATGAACTCATTCATTCCAGAATTTTAAAAATGAACTATTCTAACATTTGAAGGGTTAAAATGTGTCTCCAGGGGTGACTGAGTTAAATGTTTTTCCTTTATATAGTTACAATAAACACAGTAATTGGCTTGTAAGTTATTCAGCAATCTGCATTGCATAAAATGTAATCATTATCAAAATAAATCATAAACAATTGTCTGGTTTCCATCAGGCTACCCTGCAAACTGCAATCGAGAATGAAGAAAAGTTGAAACTTGCTCAGACAGCAGAAATGCAGGAAGTCGAAAACTATGTGGAACACATACGTCACCTATCAGATGAAAGAGAGGCTTTAATCCAGGAGCTAGAAACTGAAAACGATCAACTAAAAGGAGATATCACACAGCTGAAGCATGACCAGAATGGTAAGTTGAGAGGTCAGAGGTCACTTTGTGGAAGGATATCTTAGAGATTCTGTATTTCACCTTATCCTGTAACATTGGAAGATATTGCTATTATGGAGTTTTTTTCTGTTATTCACATTTACTTGACTGGCTAGAAAATGAACTTGCAAACATATTAAGTCACTGTGACATATGTACTGACGTTTCATCACCATTGTCAAGGGTGAGACTTTTCACAAAACAAACAGTGTAGCTGTATTTAGCTGAAACAGGAAGGCTGGAAATAAACTATGGAATCTAGATGTTGATGCACCATCTTATGTTTATTTTGTTTTTACTCTCCGTGATGAAGCGCTAGTGGGTGTTGGGTATCTGTCAAAGACTCCTGCTATAATCCACTTAACATCCACAACATCTAGGTTGTTGGTAATCTATCTTGTTTAGTTTGGAGTCTTAATTCTAAAACACAATAATGAAATATTTGCCTTTGCTATATCATATAATTCTGTACATTTCGTTTCCATTTTCATTCACCACCAGTTTTGTTTTTTTTAATTTATTTTGATTTTTTAACCATTCCTATATGTCTCCCTTACTTTCACAAATCCTTTTGTAAATGCTGAAAGTAGGTTTGACAAATATTGGCTGTTACAAGTATTGGCTGTTACAAGTATTGGCTGTTACAAGGATTGGCTGTTACAAGTATTGGTTGTTACAAGTATTGGCTGTTACAAGTATTGGTTGTTACAAGTATTGGCTGTTACAAATATTGGCTGTTACAAGCATTGGCTGTTACAAGTATTGGCTGTTACAAGTATTGACTTACAAATATTGGCTGTTACAAATATTGGTTGTTACAAGTATTGGCTGTTACAAGTATTGGTTGTTACAAGTATTGGCTGTTACAAGTATTGGTTGTTACAAGTATTGGCTGTTACAAGTATTGGCTGTTACAAGGATTGGCTGTTACAAGTATTGGCAGTTACATGTTACAAGTATTGGCTGTTACAAGTATTGGCCATTACAAGTATTGATATTTACCTGTACATAATCTTATTTATTTTATTTGCCAGCGGAAGCAGTGCTAAACGAAACAGCAGAAATGTTAATTCAGCAGGGCTTGGACGATATTGCTATGGTCTCGACCAGTGAACAGATTGCATTTCTTCTTGTTGAGCGTGCTCGTCTTCTTGACGAGTTGGAAGCTGAGCAGAGTCGAACAATATCGCCAATGGAGGCTATTACGGATGGTGAAGTTTCCGAGGATATTTTGAAACTAACTCTTGAAAAGGAGCGAAACGAACATGAGGAGGAACTAATTCAAGCAAGGGATAGTATTCGCTCCCTAAAGACAAACTATGAGGAAGAAATAAATGGACTAATGGATGAAAACAATAAACTAGAGGATGACCTTGTGCAGACAAAAGAAAAGGTAAGTTACATGTTTCTACTATAAAAAAACACTACCAGTTAAAATTGTGTTCATGAATGTAATTAAATCTGCTTTATTTAGACACTTCTTATCCTGCCTCCAATGATGTGAGACCATCATAAGAAGCAAACATTTATGTGATGTAGGGATTTTCCAATCAATCAGAATGATATTTACACTGACAATAATACAAACACTTCAAAGCTGAAAATTATCAGAAATAGTTTTATTTAGATCACTTATATCCAATAATAACTGATTAAGAATGTAAATATATGTATTGAACATCCATATTTACAAGCTCATGTTGGCTTTATGTTCAAATTCCTATATACATATTGTTGTATAATGTTGTATTACAGGTACAAATTGGCTAATTTTTAGTGGCTTGATATTGTAAGGGTAAACATTTTCATTTATGGCCAAAGAAATATGTTCAGTTTTGTATCTTTTGCCTACATGTGGTTAAAATAAGTCTATACCAGCCTGATGGTATCTGTCTGTACTATAAATGTTATAAGGTGTGGTAATATAAACCAACATACCTATAACCTACAATACCTACATACCCTGATGACACCTTGAATATGATATATATATGTATCAGGTACATAAACAATTAAGATAGATTTTAAATAGTTGCTCACAAAAGACTATCTTTATTTAAGATTTGACCTGTCAATTCAATAAGGTTTTATTGTCTGTAAATACGGGTATCATTTGACCATCAGTCCATATAAAGTAAGTTCATTGTGTCGTAAGGACGCTAACTGTCAATGACCACCATGCATGTGCAGCGTTCATTGACTAGTAAACTAGCTGTTTCATTGTAATATTAAGGTTTTGCACTGACAATCAACTTTTAATTACATTAAAATTAAATAATGTCTCTAGAATTGTTCACTAGGGTAGATATGGACTATTTGTTTAGGTTTTATATTGGGGTTTAATGTCCTCATAACAGCCTGTCCCGAGGGTAGAATTTCCACCTGTCCTGAGGGTAGAATTTCCACCTGTCCTGAGGATAGAATTTCCACCTGTCCTAAGGGTAGAATTTCCACCTGTCCTGATGCATGAGGGTGGAAATTCCATCTCTCCCGAGGGTAGAATTTCCACCTGTCCTGATGCATGAGGGTAGAAATTCCTAGTGCAGTGTATGTATAGGTATGTCTGGAATAACTAGATATATGTACGTGTGAGCTAGTTATTTGACAGGGGTGTTGAGTCACAGTGTCCTGTAGTCATTTAACACAATAATGTCATTCAATTAATCAATAATATTGGGATTATCATTTCAAAAATCTGAAAATGATCGTATCTGAATTTTAAGTAAGATTTAACCCAGCTATCATACCGCCAAAAAGTCTTTAAGTGTAATTTATACCTCCTCATGATCATGTACTGGGAACTATACAACAGAAATACAAATATTTCTTGAAGTATTTTTGAAATACTTCCAGACCATTCATATGTCTACCCAGACAAAGAGTAATTTGAAACACATTACTTTAATTGTTGTACACGTCAGCTACTTACCCATTTAACTGTACTCAATTACAACCCTGGAGGGTTAATCTGTTTAAAATTTGATGAAATATTGATAAAGACATTCACCTATATAATGCTCAGTGTTTATACTACAGCTCAAGGTTACATGTAAAAGTGGAATACTTTGTCAAACTCTTCCACCATGATCATTTGTCAGGTGTATTTGTCACATAAAAACTGGTCCATGCTATGATAATTAGGGTTTTCATGATAGAATTTCTCAATTCCTTTCATTAAATAATTAGTTAGACTCATTTGTAGTGCAGTACAGTGTGGGATGGTTCATTGAGTCTGAAACAGGTGTTAAGTGCACAGTAATAGTTTTTGATTATGAATAATTTAATGCAGTGTGTTTCTCTTTGAATGCGACATGTGACATGTGTCATTTGTAAGGGGTATTGTGATAATAAGTGAAATGTGACATTAACAGAAAAATACATGTGAAAATAAACCACTTTTAGTATAGAGATATTGAGGTATTAATATACACTTATACATCCTATTGTCAGAATTAACATGACAATTGACCAAGGTCAGTGCAGACTATTTTTTGTCAGCATCTGTTTGGTCGATACTGTATTATACAGGGGCCACCGTGGCCAAGTGGTAAAGGCGTCTGACATTCTGCTACCACTATAGCCCTCCACCACTGGGTCGTGGGTTCAAGGCCCATGTGGAGCAGTCCCCAGGTACTGGCCATGGGTCAGTGGTTTTTCCGGGGAACTCCGGCTTTGTTAATAGGACGTAAAACACAAACAAACCAAACTTCTATAACACTCCAGGGTTCTTTATACCTTACAACTATGCATTACACTACGTAGATAGGTGGGCTTTTTCCGGGAACTCCGGCTTTCCTCCACCACCAAAACCAGGCATGTCCTTAGATGACCATAGCTGTTAATAGGACATACAACACAAACACACTGTAATTTACACCAAGCCAATGTGTGAAAATGGACTATCAGAACCATTACAAGAGATGTCACCATTGTTTTCATTAATTATTTTAAAAGCCAGTAACAATTATATGCAGCTAAAATGTTGGGAATTTTGAAATAGCCATTTTTATTAAGGATGATATGTTTTAGGAAAACATGGTATTAAGTGGTAAGTGACATTAAGCAATGTAACATGAGATCAAAATCATTGCATATTTTTTCCCAATCTGCCCGATTGAGCAATTACATTTCTTTATCTAAAATCATGAAGGAATTTTCCTATGATACATAATATAAAACATTTGTATAGTGCCCAGTCGTCGTATTACAATTGTACAGTGCATATATATACGTATACTGCAAAGCAATTAACATCTTATACATGAATTTAAGACACTGTAAACTGAGAACATTCATCCACCAAATTGAATAATTATCATTACAAAAATGTGAAATAGTTATTGTGCAAAATATTTAAATCGGCATTTCATGTATCCTATTTCAGTTAATTAGACATCAGTTTCAAGGTGTCTCAAAACGTGTTTATCTAGATTGCTGTTTTTTTAGAAGTTTTCTAATTAGAATTTTACACTGAAGAATTATATGAAAGGCTTGGTTTTTTAATTGGAACTTTTCACAAAATGATCAAATGGAATTGAGCAATAAAATTGTTTCAGGCAGAAATGTGTTTCCATACTTGAACAGTTTAATGAGAGGGAGTAACCGAAGCAGTAGCTATAAAATACTACACATTCATTGTCTCTAGACCTCCATACTCATCAGTAGCTATAACATATACTACACATTGTCTCTAGACCTCCATACTCTGAGTCTACACTGTAGTCAATACCCAGTAGCCATTACAAGCCTATTGGATTTTTTACCTGATAATAGAGAGGAAGCGTGTTTGCAGAGCCGTTATGATCGGCAATTTTGGACTGAAAATCAATGGATTTAATTGGTCGTTTCTTGGCAGTTGGGAGCAACCTTGAGGGTTCCTAATCGTTGACAAACCAATATGACTTGTTGGATACTAGTGAAGTTTAATACTATGTAAACTGCGCTGATGTTAGTACACAACGGTACTTCACGGTAGCTATTATTAATTTGGAACTTTATTATAAAGCGAGTATCGATATTACAAACAAGCCATAGATGTACGTGGAATTATTAGTGACAGGAGTAATTTATACTGTTCACGGATCATGTATTCTAAACGGAACAAGGTTTGTATACAAAAAAGGTTTTGTTATTTAAGTGTCGTATTGTTTACAATATAGATAATCTTTAGCATTAGTGATATTGGACAGGAACAGTGTAACTGATCAACAATACAAATAGTGTACAAGGAAACTATCAATCAATGATGTACGTTTTTTTGTAGATTAAACATGTTTTTCACAAATTACGCAATTCATTTGCTGCATGTTTCTTGCAGATCTAGAGATTTTTTTCCCTCATTCAGGATTTGAGCAAACTCCAAAATTGATATGCTACACCCTTTCACTGTATAATCAATTTTTGACTGTACAGTGGCCCTGTACAATCTCATTTTGTTGATGCATGGGCTTCTAAAGTTGCAATTTATGTTTTTTATTTAGAAATGAAATCAGTGATATTAATTAAATATTTTGGGAAGAGCTCTGAGCCTTGTAATCAAGTGTGACATCATAATGTCTGGTGCCTAAGTTTTTTGATGCAATAATAACTCTAATCATTATTGTAATCAATTTTCTTCAAACTTATAGTAATTAAAAGAAAATTAATAGTTTTTTGTCTAATACCAGATATATTTCATTGGCACAGCAGAACCAATATTACCAGATCTATGGCTGGACTAGTGAACTCTGTATTGGAGTCCATCATTTAAGGGTTACAAGGCCATACTTCACTGAACATATACATTAATATATACCACTAGTAGATATACCACTATATACCACTAGTGGATATACCACTATATACCACCAGGGGATATACCACTATATACCACCAGGGGATATACCACTATACACCATGTACTAGTGGATATACCACTATATTCCACTAGTGGATATACCACTATATAGCACTCGTGGATATACCACTATATACCACTAATGGATATACCACTATATACCACTAGGGGATATACCAAAATTTTCCACATGTACTATTGGATATACCACTATATACCACTAGTGGATATAACACTATATACCACTAGTGGATATACCACTATATACCACTAGGGGATATACCAAAATTTTCCACATGTACTAGTGGATATACCACTATATACCACTAGTGGATATACCACTATATACCACTAGTGGATATACCACTATATACCACTAGTGGATATACCACTATATACCACTAGGGGATATACCACTATACACCATGTACTAGTGGATATACCACTAGGGGATGTTGGATCTTATCCTCCCTTAAGCTTGTATCAATAGACCTAGTTTGACAATGAATATAATACAGTTCATTGAGACATAATTTCAATTTTGTATTTTCAGTTGGTTGACATTGAGAAAGAAAACACAGTGCTGAAAGATGAGATACAACAGTTCAAGTCAGACTCGGGTAAATATAAATTTTCTCGTAATAGGTTAGCTATCCTAGATCTTCTCTGCTATATATTCATAGTAAATCTAAAGTTTAACCATGCTGCTTTGATTTTACATAGCGTGCTGCTTTAACAGCAATATTGTAATATCATGCTTCTTTCAAAACATTCTGGAGAGAACACTGTACATGTACACGCAGAATATAAAAGATGGGGAATATGTTCACCAGTTGAAGTTGAACCTCCTCTGGCATGTCAAGTCTGTTTATATTTGAATCTTTTTGTCCAGGGTCTGATACAGATTCAGGGTTGGTCCAAATTTCAAATCCAATAAAAAATCAGTTCTTTGCAAATTAGGCTATAGTTAATGAAAAAGTTTGGGGAAAATGTTTACACTTACATCTATATATAAGTGTAGGTTTAAAATCACATTTTTCTACAAATCTGAAAATAATTGGGCAGCATTCTTTGGCCTTGAGTAAATCAAATTCTTGGTGGAACTGATCCCCTAAAATTTGGTTTGCTTCAATTTCTGAAGGTCAATGTCAGTAGGATTATAATAGGCAGTCCTGTATATTTGAGAGGATCTGACAGAAGTCAGCCAGCTAGACATGCCAGCTGATATTTATATGTACTGCCTTATGCAAGCTTTGCTTTTCCAAATAATTTGTTCCCTTTAATACCGTGATTTTAAGTACAGAATGTATTATGATGAGGTGCTATTCTAGATCCAGAATTTCACAACCCAGTAAATATTTGGTATTGATGTTAGACAATGTCTAAACATCCATTTTTGTATTTTTAAACAATTGGCAGTCATTGTAACATTGATGAGTAATCCCGGTCACAATAACACTAACCCACTACAATGGAGGTTTTGTGTATCAACTGTAATTAGTCACAGGTAAAACTTCAGTGTGAAGTGTGCCGGCCAGTCGCCATACCAGGTCTTACTTATTCCATTAGCTTCGGACTTTAATCTCACAGTAGACGGGTTCTATCATGTCCAAATTTTACAAATGACCTCAGCATTCTGGCCTGCAAAGCCTGCCATGGTCAACCTATCAAAGTCATTAACTCAAAATTTGGAATTTTAGAATTTTCTTATCTAATCACAGTTACAAAACATTTTGTTTTAATTTCTATCCAATGAGAGACTCAAGACTTCACAGATTTTTAATCATATCAACATTTTGCTTATCAGAATCGCCCATACTGTTCACTCTCCAGCTCTTTTAACCAAATCCCAGTTCAATCAACACAAACACACACCTTCCCCAACATAATATAGAAGCTCACAGTCCAAACTGGATCTAGTATTTTATAATTATGTGGAAATACTAAACATACATGTATGTATAGCTTATGTTATTATGTTTCGATGTACAATAATCTTTCCTAAACTTTTCATTTACATTGGAGAAGATATTGTAAACAATCGATATTCTTTTTTTTTAGTGGAATACTTTTCAGGTGATGATATAGAAATACAAATTTGATATTAAATGTAACCCGATTATTTCTAAATACATGTGTAACACCTTGCCCTTTCCATTGTTAAATGTATGTTGATATAACTCCCACGATTTGCACCATTATGATGTGACATTTCACTAGTTCACACTGTGTGACATGGTTTTACCAGATTCCATTTCGTCCCGAAGCGCCCCTCTAGATCTCCTTTCTTCACCACTTGTTGAAATGATGATCTGAAGTAACAAAATACTTTCGCCCTACACTTGTAAATTCTGTATTCGTTCACTCAAACTTTAGCCCTACACTTGTAAATTCTGTATTCGCCCAGTCTAACTGTCGCCCTACACTTGTAAATTCTGTATTCTCCCAGTCTAACTTTTCGCCCTACACTTGTAAATTCTGTATTCTCCCAGTCTTACTTTTCGCCCTACACTTGTAAATTCTGTATTCGCCCAGTCTAACTGTCGCCCTACACTTGTAAATTCTGTATTCTCCCAGTCTAACTGTCGCCCTACACTTGTAAATTCTGTATTCTCCCAGTCTTACTTTTCGCCCTACACTTGTAAATTCTGTATTCGCTCAGTCAAACTTTCGCCCTACACTTGTAAATTCTGTATTCGCTAACTCAAACTTTCGCCCTACACTTGTAAATTCTGTATTCACCCAGTGTTAAATTTGCCCTTCACATATGATTTCCATGTTTATCATGTTGTTTTCTAATTTTCTAAGCTAACTTTGTAGTGATGACTGAAAATTGACAAATTCGAAGAAAAACTCACCGCCTCTATCTTTCCACCTGATGACCTCAAATTTTAGAGTCTTCAAGCATCATTGATCATTTTATTTATATTTTATTTTATTTGTATTTCAAAGTCGTGATCAGAATGAACTGATAACTGAAATATTTTCAATGATAATCATATTGACAATTTTAATAAAAATATAAATTCTCCTTGGCTCCAAACTATTAAAATCCTCTCACCTCCATTTTGTCAATATTTGACCTTTAAATTTGTTAATCTTAAAACATCATTGAGTTTTTTGTTTTGTTTGTTTTGCTTTTCATTGGGTAACTTGAAAATATAAGGTACACAAAATTGAATAACGTGTACAATGGGTGAGGTGTTGGCTGTCATACCTGTATAATACCTGTGTGTTACCTGTGTGTTACCTGTATGTGCGTTTTACCTGTGCTGACGAGATCGATGTGTAGTAGAAGGATATTTAGCACCTCCTTCAGACTTTGAAATATTGATTGAATTCTGCATAAAAGATTTCAAGGGTGTACATTGTCAGGCTGTTTGATTTGGTTTTATGTGTGAACCTGAACGTTGTGTATAGCTACCGAAATATGCGTAGTATTTCACACAAACCATATTTAACCTAAAGTTTACGTTTTATACCCCAGACTTATGTGTTTGGTGTAAACTTCATGCAAACATGCTGCCATAGACATCTGTTTTAAATACTATTGCTCATTTGCATTAAAATTTGTGAATACAAGTGCTACTCTACATATGAATTAAAACTAAACCATACAGTATTATCTGGTTTCTATGATACCGCTGAGCAGACCTATTTTCTGTTTGAGATATCCAAATTCATTAGCTGCAGTCACCATCACTCTTGTTTAAGGATGCTGACCTCAGTGTAAAGATCCTCTCCCCTCCAAAATAGAAAACCAGTCAATTATAAGCATCATTATTATTTGGGTAATTCTTAACTTTTATAATAGTTTGTGTTAAGAAAACTTAGGGGAGATAAGTAAAACACATATGGTATTACAACCCAATATCAGTTTGGCATCAACTTTTGGGACACTCTGGACATAAAAAATTTCAAGACAGTTTTTAGATGTGCAAGATATACACTAAGAAGTAAAAATATTTTGTAGCATTTTCAGCTCAAAATTCTACTTTGTTCATGTAATAAGTTTACTAGAATACTGCATTCCACCAATAACGAGAAAGGGAGATAACTGCAGCTCAATTATAGGTTTAATGATTGAACATGTAAATAATCCATGTTGAATTGGCTGGCACTGAATGTTTCAGGAAATCACAAGATTTCAATTATCTATTTCAGGAAGACAAAATGTATGATTTTGAATGATCAGTAAATATAATAGCAGTAAAGTAATCACTGCAGAGGTTAAACACACACACAAATATTCCCTTTTTTAGTCGTGTTTATGATTTAATACAGCACTTCTGTTTCAACGGAATATGCATCATAATGAACAGAGGTTACAGACACATTTCAAGGTTGACTTCCATGTACTTATTTAAATATCAAATATGTGTGAAACTTGTAGCCACTTTTCAGGTGGCACAGCAAATATTTGAGACTTTCAGGTATATTCTATTGAAGAGTCCACTTATGTACACATATCAACCGGATTTGACCTCCTGGTGTGGCAGGTTGGGAAATGCAAATATTGATATTTCATAGTTTGGATAAGTTCAGCCTTCAGTTACATGTACTTGTACCTGTAAGGGGATTTGTGGTAGACAGAGTATATTGATTAACGTTGATTAAATATCGATCCTGGCTGTGTTAGTCTTATTGTAAAATAAATTCCAAGATTACAGGTAGCTCAGATAGACTGAACATGGAGACTGAGCATCCTAAGCCAGTATATCCTTCAATCGTAATCATTTGATTTATAATTCAGGATAACTAAGTGCCAAGTTTCTGTATGTTAGCATAACTGATTCATGCAGGGTTTCTTCCCTACTGCATATGGTCTAAATACAGTTTGTGAATTCTAAACTACCAAAAACTACTTGTCAATGGGGAGATTACAATATTAAGTAAAAAGGTGATCTGTTGTTTAATCAAAACATTGTTAATTGATCTTGATATAGAAAATGATGAAAGATTGACTCCTCAAAACTATTATTTTAACTCAAAGATTTGTCTGAAACGGCTTAAAAGTGCTAATGATTCTATTAAGTAAGAAAGCAACTAAAGTATAGATCTCCAAATAGCAGAACGAATAAATATTACTTTCACAATAAATTGCTTAATTTTGTTTTTTTCTTATTTATGTACTTGAGTAACGAATATTTTTATCAGAATTTGATTTTAGAAAATACATAAGATACACAGAAAATAAACAATAATGTATAAATCAGAGAAATAAAATGCCCAGGTCCGATGGCAGGGAGCATGGATTAGGTCTGTGAGTAGTGTAAAATGATGACCTATTGAAAAGTGTTTTTAATATATATGTACCACATAATATCATACCTTTACAAATAAGCACATAGATTTAACAGGAAACCAGAAACTTTATTACTCGACAGTCACAGGGTTAGAAATGCTATACATTTTACTTTTTCAAAAGCACTTGCCCATAAGACCTCTTCTATATACAATCTTGTTAAAGACCATGGAATAGGTCTGAATGTATACTTTTGTGATGGTCTTAAATTTGCCATTGACTCACGTCTTTTCTAATTTATCATTGCCAAAATGTTTTCTCACAAAATTATAATGTTGTACCACAGGTCCAATTTTTCATGACATATACATGAACTGTTAGACTGTGAAGGCCTGTTAGTCTGAACAACTGAGGAGAGAAAAATTGAGTCCCATATTTGTACTCCATAACAGTGAAAATACACATTAATTAAAATGACATTGAGTTATTCAGGTTAAATGTTGTCTGTATTTGTGGATGTAACAAACATTAAAAGCTGGTGGGTTGAGCTATTGAATGATGTATTGTATGATACTGAAGATATACTTGTATAGCACTATTAATCCATTAATTAATCTACTGACCTTAACTCATTCACCCCTGAAAACACATTTGAACTCCTCCAATCTGAAGGTTGGAATAGTTCATTACACAATTTTAGGGGTGAATGAGTTAAATCTTAAACATGTACTTCATTACGTTACTTTTTGAAATGGTCATATTCCAACATAAAGGTAATGTTTGAATTTTAGATTCACGAGCATCAACACCTCGAGTTGGACGTCCACCAAGTCCCGCTCGTATGCCTAATGATGTGGCTCTCCGAAACATCATTCAGGAAAAAACTAAGCTGGAAGGGGAACTTCTAACACTGAAGTCCCATATACGGAACTTGGAATCCACCAATGAAGAAAATTCCCAAAAGGTTAGTGTTTTTAAGGTTAAAAATTATTTGTAAAAGGAGAGATGTGACGTGGAGAGTCGAAATTCTAGTCCCTTTCATTTCCCGTAAATTATTCAATCACCTTCATTTACAGTCAATAACCCAACCACTTTAATTGTAAGTAAACCAGAGAAAAAGTCGCTTAAAGCAATATGGCGAAATTACACCTTTTTGCTCCCACCCCTCAGCCCCCTGGGGGTCAGCCCCACCATTCATACATTATGTTTCCCCACCATCACGGAATGCTTTCAGTTAAACTTGGTCAATTCCAGCCAGATGTAAAGAAGATGTTTTAAGACATTTTTGACTGACGGACCGATGAAGGATGCCACAGTACAGCATCAAGCTCACCTGAGTCCTTGGGTCCTGATCAAATCATCTTCATTTCCAGTGGACTATATCCTGTCACATTTCTAGTGGACTATATCCTGTCACATTTCCAGTGGACTATATCCGGTCACATTTCCAGTGGACTATATCCTGTCACATTTCCAGTGGACTATATCCTGTCACATTTCCAGTGGACTATAGCCTGTCACATTTCCAGTGGACTATATCCTGTCACATTTCCAGTGGACTGTATCCTGTCACATTTCCTGTAGAAAATCTAGCCCCAATTTTGCAATAGATATGTGTATTGAATACAATCACTCGACTCAAGACTACAAGAGGTTTTGAAAGACTTCCTGATATCAGAGTATTTGAGATATTTAAGTTCAGCTACATACAGAACAGTACAGCTTTTGTTACTCTATAAGTAATGTAGTATCCTGACGAGTATGTCAATATCTTTGTTTTAAATAGATTAAGAATGTTGAGGAGGAATTGGCGAAGACACAGAGTCTCCATCAACAGCTACAGATGAAAAACAGAAGTCTTAAGTCGGAAATCGAGGAGGCAGAACAACAACTGGATGAAGCTGAGGTATTTAGCCCTTTCACCCTTGTAGACCATAATGGACTCATCCAGGTAGAGTCTACTAAAGTTGCATAGGGGTTAAAAGGTTAACATTGATATATTGATTGATTAATAGATTGATTGATTGATCAGATTTGATGTTCGAAACAGCTGAAGTCATATATGTCAACACCTAAGATCTGGATGACTTAAGTGCAAATGACAACACAGGTAATAGTTATTGATTTCCAGCCCAGGTTTGCTGTGAGGTCTAGGTCTGATGTATTCAACAGTGTATGGATCTTGATGTCATGGTCAGTACTGGTTTGTGACACACTTCTGAAAGGAGTTTTGAAATTAATGTTTAAAAATTGTTTATTTCAACGAATCCTTTATGAAAGTTTTGATTGTCCACATCAATTTTAATGTTTGTTTCTTTTGGAAATTAAAATTAAAAAAAATACATTTTATCATGGATTCATTAATTTGTCTTGCAATTTGAAATGGTCATATGATGATGGAGGTACATGGTTTATCATATGTTTGTGTTATCTAATGTTGGTATATTCTTGTATTATTCCTAGCATTTAAAAATACATTATGTTCTACCTTAGTGCGAGAACTAGTCATTTGAAATACCTTAAATTTGACATTAGTATCTTATAAAAAGTATCTTGAGTCTGTAGTGAAAGACACACTTTCTTGAGATAACATGTTTTGTTGTTAAAACCTGGTACATATTGTACAATGTACATGTTTCTGTTTTATTGATAAATAAAAACAAATTTGTCTTTTTTTATTGTAAAAGATGTCTAGGTGGCTTACCTGCTTGCAATACCTTGGGTAGGAATAGTTGACAGAAATAATATTCTTTTTCCAGAGCAATGTTGATGAGATGTCAGCAGAGAAGGATAAGATGAAGGAAAGTCTAAACTCAACAGAAAATGAGATGAAAACTCTCAGGGCTGAACTGCAGGCTTCCAGTAGTTTGAAGGTTATCTCCCCTTACTGAAATTATGATATCATCAGATTTATGTACTTAATTTCTTGCATCATGTATTGAATTGACATTAAGCGTATCTCCTAGCTACTGTTATCTGAAACATCATAACTGAGATTTCTCCTTAAAATCATTTTTCTCATAAAAACTCTGTTCGTGCTAAGAAGAAAACGAATACGAATATGAAACCTGGGTATCTTTAAACAATTCTCATAACCTATCTACATAATTTATACAATTCATGTTATTACTTCATAGATTATTGATAAATTTTGAACTTTTAGTTAATGCGGATTATAGGTCATGGGAATCATTGAAAAGACGCGTAGCTGATTTATTAGATTGCCTGCCATATACTAATGATAGGTAAAAAAATTTAACAAGAATTTGTTTAGGCTACAATGACCATTAAACTTGGCACTTTTACAAGTATTTAAAATGATTGGTATAATGATATAATTATTTACTATACGACTTAAAGTCTCTGGCTTTCCCAGCATGATGATTGAGGTTCCCAGGTAGGTCGTTGAGAAGCATTTAGTAATTGATGAACATTTTTGGCAAATGACAACTACATGTACTAAAATGGATAATTAGGAGAAACTAACAAGCAATCTATACTCTAAAAGTATTGGCCCTTTTTCATTATTTTTTTGCCAAATTAATGTTGGTTAAATTTGATCTGTAAGGCAAAATTTACATTTATATATATATATATAGAGATCATTCTTTATTTACCTCTTTTATTTTTCAAAATAACATTATTTGAAATCTTAACATTGTTTAAATGTAAATATTCTGATTTCATGTTATTTTCCGTATAAACTTAATGTGGAAGTAAAAAAATAAATGAATTTTAAAATAAAAACAAATCTTTGAAGTTCAAATTTCTATTGAAATTAGTAAATGAGATTATTAATGTCTTTTGGGCAATTTTTTCGTAGGATTTTACGAGAAAATAAATAAAGGCAAAAAAATGCAATTTTTGTTTATGCAAAGCATGCTTAATTTGAAATATAAGAAATGTGAACAACAAAAAAGATACATATTCAGAATGAACTAGTTTTTATTCACAGTTCACTGTGAATAAGACAGACACCTATTGAATAACATTTTATCAATATCATTGAACAGTATAAGTTTTGGTATAAGATTTAATTTTGTCTGTATATGACTTAAATCTTTAATTAGTTTTCATAATCTATAAATTGTTTACATTTTTCAATAAATAGTTTACATATTCTACAAATCATTTATATATAATGACAATACATAGTTAATATAATTTGTAAATAGACTACATAATCTATTAATAGTTTACATCATAATCTATAATTATTTTACATCATAATCTATTATTAGTTTACATCATAATCTATTAATAGTTTACATCATAATCTATTATTAGTTTACATCATAATCTACTAAAAGTTTAAAGACATATGCTACCTTACCGAGTACATTATATCATTCCAGCAATTTATGTAAGAGTTATCTCCCTTGATATTAATAATTATTTAGTAACTGAGTAAAACCCAGCTGTTATCAGTGCATGCTGTATTCCTGGCATTTGTGTGAGCAATTAATTAACCAAGTCCATATGCACATTAAAAATTTCTCGGTGTAGAAATCTTTTGGAAAGAAGATAATAAGGTAGTACACGTCACCTAAAGCCCATAAACATGGGAGATAATAAGGTAGCACACATGGATAACAGACTTAAATATGGGAATATAGAAAAGTTAGTACATAGGAGCTCTATGACAGTTCAGATTTTGGCCTGCTGACAATGGTTTCCCTTTAAGTTGTATAGTAAATGTTGTTTTGTGAAAGTCTGAAAAGAGATTCAAAGCATGGGTTAACCACAGATTAAAGTATTAAAACATGACCTTTAATTTTTCTGTGCCACAGTGTAGTATTGATATATATATATATATATATATACTATGTTAGTTTTAAGCTTTGAATAAGTTTCATTGTTGTTGTTGATCTTACTTTTGAAAAATGAAATTAACTTTCTGGGCCATGTTGTGGCAGGTCTTGTTAGATTTCACAGAGGACACACAGGACCTCTCCAAAATAAATCTAGACTACTCTCCAAATTTGAATGTAGTTCGACTTCCTTATCAAATTTAAATACATTAACATGCATAATGGTACATATGGATCATTTTACCACATTTTATATCTTACATAAGGCAACTCTTCATGTATGACTTAAGTTATGTAAAGATAAAATTAAGTTTATAATTTACAAAAAACAAAAAGTTCAGTGTATAACTTTCATAACTTATTTGATAAAAAAAAAATGTTAAATATATCTTACTAGAAGGTAAGGTTGATTAAATGATTCTATAAGGATGCTGACGATAGTGAATCCCTTCCTTCTGTGTATTCAGTATCACCTTGTTATACTAAATTATCCAGTACAACTATATATGGCCTACTACAAGGGTTTGTTCGTAAAGTCACAAATAAAATGTAGCGATTTACATAGGTCATACAATAGGATAAATGATGGATGCAGGCAGACGCTCTGCCTCTTTATCCATATCATAATATATTTTAAATGTATTTAGAAAATATAATTCATTAATTGCCGTTTCCTGAGATTTCTTTATGGCCGGCCAAATGATTGTATTTCAGTTCAAGATTTTTACAATGAGTATTAAGATTAATTTCAAAGTCCGTAATCGTTGGCGATGTAATAACATATTCGGGGAGACTGTTCCAGATTTCGACAACCCTAATGCTAAATGAATATATCAGAATAGCATGCTTGCAATGTTTAAGCACCAATTTTTTATTCATATTTTTTTTATTCTTTGATCTCAAATGAATCATAAATCCTTTAGGGACATATATTATGTTATAATCATACAGCTGTATATTACCTTAAAATCTATACAATCTAAATCTTTACTCTCATATATCATATTTAAATATTATTATAGAAATTAGGAGAGGATTAGGAAATAATATTTTTTCACATTAAGAATGAAGGGAGATCTGTTTGACAGAGAGTGACAGGTATTTGTATGGTAAGTAAATATTTTTTATACGTTTTAACATTTTCAGGAAATCGTGGATATCCTATCGTCAGAAAAGAACCAGCTTACAGAAGAACTTGGGACATTAAAGAAGGAATTTGATGAGGTCTGTACGGAGAAAGAAGAATTAACGGAAGAAAAATTAATGATGAGCAAAAGTGAAATAGAACTCACCAATCAACTTCATTCTCTGAAATTTGAATTAGGAAGTAAAGCTGACACGGGTGAATTTCAGAAACAGTCTGATCAACTGTTACAGACTTTAGATTTACTAGACAGTGCAACAACAGAACTGGAAAGCTTACGGAGTAACACAGACACTCTTACAAAGGAAAACAAAGAGTTACTCAATCGACTTGAAATGGCGCAAGAGGAACTCAAGAATTTGAAACAGGAAGGACAGGAAGTAGCTAAACAAGATGTAAGTTTGTTTTCTTGGTACTGTGGAAACAAAGTGTGCTCACTCCCTTGCCTCAGTTTTACTACTTATATTTTATTCTCTTTGAAAAGTGTTTTACCATAAAAACTGCTCATGCCAAAAAATATGATTATAATAAAAAAAAAGATCATACTTATTTCTCTAAGTCCTTACATTTTTATTTTTTTTCCTTTTTCTTTTATATCGGCGGAGGGGGACGAAAATTGTCGTGTCACAAAAATTCTCCTGTTTAAGGAATTGTTGTGAATAACATTTTAAGGAAATACCATTTTTATGTTTTTATTTATGAATAGATCTGTAGAAATGCTCAACATGGTTTTGAACATACATATTTTTATAGGGTTGTAATTTAGAAATTAGGTGGAAGGGAAATAACTCTTATTAATAACTGCTTACAATGTTTGAGATTTAGTCTGAATTCTAGTATCCAATTCAGGTTGGAGTTATTAACATTTTTGGAGAAAGATTTATATGTTTTTTTCAATATTTGGTCAGGTGTGTATTTGTGTTTTAATGATTTTGTGTTTTCAGCCGAATGTTGTAAGTTTTGATAGTCTTTAACACCTCCAGACAACAACCCTTTCTAATAGTCCATCAAAATTGATACCTGCTGACATGAAATTTCAGGACCCATGTGAAAAAGCAAATTGCCAGAAAAGGATTCAACTGTCAGTAATGTCCAACAAAGCTATGTTTTAAAGGACAGTTTCATTGTAGTTAATGACAACTACTCTGTCATATAATTGTGACTATCTCATCAACTTACCAATATTGATCAGTAATCACATATTTTAGGAGAAACTTTCCAGTGTTAATGCATCAGCTGCTTAAAAGTTTAATTTACTCTTTTGGAAATTTATCAAATTAACAAAATTTTGTTAAATTAGTCAATTTTTTTATTTTATTTTTATCTCATAATGACAAAATTTTATATCTAGTCTCTAAAACATAACTAATACTACTGTTGAACTTTGAATAAGAGTCATTGAGGAGATTATTTGATGGAATATTGGAAGGGTCAGTAATCATCCATACAAAACCCGTCCTGAGCTAGCTGTAATATAATATATAACACTTCTGTTAAAACAATGTTAAAATAAATCTTAACATAACATTTTCAGTCTATGCTTTATAAGGTTAACAGTTGATATTTCAACAAAACAAAATCATATGGAAATATATAGCTGAATATACTTTTATTAATCATGATTAGATATAGTTTTTCAACAAATAGTTAATTAATAAAGATTATTATATCAAGCAATGAATTTATATACCTGTACACTGTAGCTGTTTTCCATTGAGTTTTTTCTACTAAAAATTACACCTAACTAAGCTTGCTAAAAGAAATACGTATTCTTTAAAAAATGTATGATTTCCTGTTTATATACTCATTACTCTAGGAAAATGTTAACTTTGGATCCTAAATAAATGTAGATTAAAATTCAATGAGTATAATAAATGAAGCTTGTTCTACTGATTATTATACTTTTTCACTGCAACTGCTTCAGATAATATACTGTCTTTTAGGAAAAGATATATAATTTATCTTTCTATATGTATATGTACTATATTACTTATATGTATTCTAAATGTTATGACTTAAATTAACCATATTAAAATAGATTAGAAAATGAAATATAAAAAAGAATATTAATGGCTAATTATCAAAGACACAAACAACGCAAACACCAAATTAGCTACTATGATATTTTTATTTTTTAAGGTTTGTCGATTATATGGCCACGGCTTCATACAGATGTGGTTACCGACTCTAAATTAGAGTCATAGGGCAAACCAAACTTAGATAACTGCAGATCAACTTGATCAAACTTGTGCAAAATTGCAAAACTTGGGACAATTGAAATAAGGACAAATTAAGTGAACACTGGGAAAATAGCGAAAATTTAGATACAAAAACTTAAAATTTGTTTTGACAAAATATGATTGTGCTTACCATGGATTCTGAGATAGCAAGAGGAAGTTATAGGGGAGATAACTCTAACATGCATATGCTCCGCTAGGCTTAGGTAACAACCAACCAATAAATATAACCTAATTTGTGCTTAGATAAATCAATTTAATTTTTTACATTAAATTTTATTATAATAAATTTTATACAAGTTACGTTCTTAGAAATTTCCTTGATATTTTATTGAAATTTAATTACATGCGGAGAATTGATGTAAATTATTTCTGTTTGAATGTAACATCAAGTACTGTAATGGTCTTTTAGTTCGTAGGTGTTTATTTCTGTGAGGGATTAAATCTGACGAATTTTACAAATTTTGTGAATGTATCACAGTTCTTAAAATGAAGAACCTAATATGAAAGATTTGAATCTAAAAAAAATAAAAATGTTATTAATAAATGCATGTAAACCTCTTACTTATCATGAAGGTCAACGTTTTCTTTATGTAGGACTGGATAACTAAAATTAAACCAGTTGTTAAACAAGATTACATACAAAACAAAGTTCCATTTATATTCTGTAAGCAATACATAGCAAATAAAATTCTGGATACAAACTAGGGAAATTATTTATCAACACAATTACACAACTGTACTGTATGTTAGTTTGATTTAAGGAAATATTGACTAGAAATCCTTCAAATATTAGCTATCAAATCCGAATGTCTATTGTTCAAACTTTCCTTCTGTACATGTCATTTACACGGATTGGAGGCCTTTATCCATGATGTGATAACCACTGACCTCAAAATTAAATATCTTCGTTATGATTTTTATTGATTGATTTTTTTTATTTGATCCTTCGGCTTTCAGCGTTCACCATGCATGTCTTGTCTATAATAATCTGCCCGTCCTATAAGTTAGAATGATTCAGGATTGATTGTCTCCCTTTAAATTCATTACTTATTTCAAAGGTCTTAATTAATTTGTCATGGATTTATTATATTTATAACTATAGTACCTTCATGTGTGACTTTATCAATCGGTACTGTTTAATAATATGAGGTGATTTTTTGTTTGAAAACCCAAACTTTAGTTTGGAGTGTATCTCAAGATAATTTTCTGTATAATCCCTGTATGTAATCTTTGTATAATGTTGGGATTTAAGCATATTATATCAAATTTGAACTCATTATACTATGTAAAGCTATCTATAAAAGTATATACATGTACATTTATATTCTTGGGTAACTAATTATATAATTTGTATTGATTAACATAATATATGCTTTATTTTTTAATGTTGAATTAAGGAAATTATAGAATTGTTCAAATCCTGGTTAGTGATATGCAGTCCATAATTTGTTCACTAATTATAAAAGGTATCAAAAACAAAAACGAGAACTACACTTGCAGTTTCTTTCAATTTACTCCCATATGATCAAGTCATTTGGTAATTCAATAATACAGACACTATAAGACAGGGGATTCTTCAATTGCTGTATCCTATATCTTTAAAAATTATGATAATTCATTGTAACAATGATTTTGTCAAATGTTATTTTTTTATAACAGTTGGTGTTATGTTTTGGGAAAATACAATAAACACTAGATTTATCACATTAGGTTTACTATTTCTTTAATCCTCTGTATACATGTAAAAGCTAACCAGGCTTTGATCAGTTTTTGCTTTAATATATGTTTATATAGTATTCATGTATATATAGTATACATGTATATATAGTATACATGTATATATAGTATACAACATGTAAATGACTAACTGGGGGAAATGGCCGGACTTTTAAATTCACTGTAGGATTAATTTTGCCTTTTCATCAGATTATCTTGGCCCATGTCAAGGATCAGAACCAAAAACTCTCTAAGGAAGTTAACACGCTAAGTACTGATTTAGAGCACAGCCAGAAAGTGGAAGACGATTTGATTCAAAAGCTGGTAAGACTGCAGGCAATGTTTTTACCAACTTCATTCACTTAGGCAGTAGTATTTATACAGATTTCACCTATCAATTAGTAGTAATCCCTGCACATTACTTTTTATTTTCATGAATACCTTAGTACATTTAAACTGTTTTAACAGAAACCTTTATAGTACAGATACCTGTATAAAGTAGACATTCAGTTTCACATGCACTATACATTTCTAGTATAATAGTCTGTGTACACTAGAAACCTGTTTTAACCAGACCTCTACCTAGGCTTGTTAAGACATCTTGATAAATGCCTGGTTTGTAAAGGTCACAAAGGTCAAAAACATTAAAACGTATTAGTTGAATACTTCTGGATAAGCATGAGGCTGAGGCAACAATTATTCACAAGCTGTAGCATGCTGTCATTTGGAATTATCAGGTATTTCCAAATGAATAACCTTTATCAATTTTGAAGGTCACATGGACAAATTTGTTAAAACATTTAGACAAATTCTTCTGAATACCAAGAGGCCTTATTAGGTGATTCTGTTGTTCTGACCAGTCACAATCTAGATGGAGATACAGCTGATAAGTCATACATCTTCAGACAAAGAGTTGACATACAAATTTTGTCAGTTTTTCATTTCATCCATTTTAGTACTTATGATAGTAAGCATCTCAGTTGTGTCAATATTTTTACATTTAAAGGAATTCAAATATCATGATCATGAGCTCATTTGGTGACTGATATGCTGGAGTACAATCATTCAAATGCTTAATATTGCTGTCCGAGGTTACATAACACCTCATGATAGATGTGCATACTTATTTATACAGCTGGGCAGAATATAGTTAGTTTAATCAAGCTGAATTTATACACGTAATATACATGTAGATATGGACAAAATATTAATAGTATAATGGAATGTAATTTTATAATGTCTTCACTGACATCAAGATGGAATTACTATTTAGTCAAACAAGAAAGTGTGATGGTTAAATCAGAGTAAATAGCAAAGACACCTGATAAATCTATGTCAGATATCAGATACTGTGGGCCATTGATAACGTGGGGTGCTTGTTAGGTAAGGTTTCACCCCATAACTTTAATTGATGATGCAGTACTACCTCCCTAATGTAGCTGTTAGGCATGAACGAATGTTTGCTTGGACTAACCAAATGTAAATCTGTTCATATAGTCTAACAATATAATATCATACTGCATGGTGTGTGTTACTAACTTCACAAGCTTTCCTCATTATCTGTTAGTTATTCATCAGTTAAGGAGATACAAGAATGACTCTTATAAACAATGAAAGACATTATAATAACAGAAAGTTTCAATTTGTCTTACCCTGATTTCTGAATCACCAAATTATTCTGTCTGTTTCTGTCTCCATGTTGCCCTAATGACATATATCGTTACTACAGTCTACAAGTGACTGATTAGGACAGATGATGTACCACGTTGCCCTAATGACATATATCAGTACTACAGGCTACAAGTGACTGTTTAGGACAGATGATGTACCACGTTGCCCTAATGACATATATCAGTACTACAGGCTACAAGTGACTGATTAGGACAGATGATGTACCACGTTGCCCTAATGACATATATCAGTACTACAGGCTACACGTGACTGTTTAGGACAGATGATGTACCACGTTGCCCTAATGACATATATCAGTACTACAGGCTACACGTGACTGTTTAGGACAGATGATGTACCACGTTGCCCTAATGACATATATCAGTACTACAGGCTACACGTGACTGTTTAGGACAGATGATGTACCACGTTGCCCTAATGACATATATCAGTACTACAGGCTACACGTGACTGTTTAGGACAGATGATGTACCACGTTGCCCTAATGACATATATCAGTACTACAGGCTACACGTGACTGTTTAGGACAGATGATGTACCACGTTGCCCTAATGACATATATCAGTACTACAGGCTACACGTGACTGTTTAGGACAGATGATGTACCACGTTGCCCTAATGACATATATCAGTACTACAGGCTACACGTGACTGTTTAGGACAGATGATGTACCACGTTGCCCTAATGACATATATCAGTACTACAGGCTACACGTGACTGTTTAGGACAGATGATGTACCACGTTGCCCTAATGACATATATCGGTACTACAGGCTACAAGTGACTGTTTAGGACAGATGATGTACCACGTTGCCCTAATGACATATATCGGTACTACAGGCTACACGTGACTGTTTAGGACAGATGATGTACCAGCTATCATCATTTGTGATGTTTTTGATGTTTAAGCATTGAACTCCCCAAATTTGCAATAATTATCAAACAAGCATATTTTCATATACCGCCTCACACCAATCCTACAGGAGTTCAAAGTTATAAGATATGCCTTGTAAAGCAGTATGATAATCTTGTCTTTCGTGAATTGATATAACTTTTATATCATAAATTACAGGATAACTTACAACAGCAGCATGATGAAGCCAATGACAGGTGAGTCTTATTTACATCTGATCAGTGGAAGTAAAGTAACGGTGCACGCAGCCAATGACAGGTGAGTCTTATTTACATCTGATCAGTGGAAATAAGGTAATGGTGCACGAAGCCAATGACAGGTGAGTCTTATTTACATCTGATCAGTGGAAATAAGGTAATGGTGCACGAAGCCAATGACAGGTGAGTCTTATTTACATCTGATCAGTGGAAATAAGGTAATGGTGCACGAAGCCAATGACAGGTGAGTCTTATTTACATCTGATCAGTGGAAATAAGGTAATGGTGCACGAAGCCAATGACAGGTGAGTCTTATTTACATCTGATCAGTGGAAATAAGGTAATGGTGCACGAAGCCAATGACAGGTGAGTCTTATTTACATCTGATCAGTGGAAATAAGGTAATGGTGCACGAAGCCAATGACAGGTGAGTCTTATTTACATCTGATCAGTGGAAGTAAGGTAATGGTGCACGAAGCCAATGACAGGTGAGTCTTATTTACATCTGATCAGTGGAAATAAGGTATCGGTGCACGGCAGTAAGCATTATATATATATAGGACGTTTATAATTTGTAACCTAAAATATTAAATGTTTGACAAGTTAAAGACTTTTGTCTGCCTTCATTGGTATTTGAAGATTTTTAATGCATACACCAATTATGATTAACTTACAGATAAAGTATAATTATACCTCATCTGTAAAATAACTCATGAAATATTTCATCAGTTTAAATAATTTAACTTTTTTTTATCTGCAAAAAATTAATTAATTAATTTTATTCATATTGATTTATAACACATAAGTTTTATTTTTGCTTTTCAAAACTGGTATAAACTAGACAATAAAGACTTGATACTAAAATGGTCATCATTTCACTCACACCATCCAGCCAATGTTTTAGTGGATGGATTTGTTTTTATTTTTACACAAAATAATCCTTTGCAATTTGGCTTCTTTTGATGGGAAGTTGTAGCTGGATTTCCGGGGCTACTTTGTTCCCTGTTATAAAGCATAAAGAAACAGTTTTAAGGATTTGATAATTTTCATCGTCGTTGATTATAAGCATTCAATAATATAACGTAACATAATTCCTATTTGCAGGTATAATAAGGAAGTGGAGGATTTGAAGTCAAAGCTACAACTAACATTTTCTGAGCTCGGTAAATCTAAGACCCTTCTGGAGGAACAGTATGGACAGAACAGTGAGCTTCAGGACCAGTTACAGGTACTGGAGCGCACGCTAAACGAAACATGTCAAACAAAGAGGGCCATCGAGACAAAAGCTAGTGAAGCCGGTCAGCTCGCTCAACAAATCAACCAACTCGAAAATCAGTTGTTAGAAAAAGGCACTTTTGAGCAAATGTTTGAGGAAAAAAGAGACGAAATATCTTTATTAGAGAAAGAATTAGATGAGTTGGAAGGACTAAAGTTTGAACTGGAAGATACGAGAGAACAGTTGGAAAAAGAGCGCAATGTTCGATTTAAGATGGAGTCAACCATTCACGAGTTAGAACAAATAATGGAGGATCAGAAAATAGATAATGAAAACATGCAGCAGAGTCTAAACAACAAGGTAAGTGGACTTGAGGACGTTCATACTGGCATGTGGCAAGTTAATAAACCAGGTAGGGGCGTTTATACATAGTCAGAGCTCCAGTGTTTATACTGGCATGTGGCAAGTTAGTAAACCAGGAAGGGGCGTTTACACATAGTCGGAGCTCCAGTGTTTATACTGGCATGTGGCAAGTTAATAAACCAGGTAGGGGCGTTTATAAGGCAACAACGTTAACTGTACTTACATTTTATATTGATATGTAATATCTATATTGACGCTTGGAATAAGTGTTTTTTCATGCCTTTCATAAACGAAATTTTGTAATTTGAAATTTAATTAAAAAGAAATAACAAGTTTGATGTAAAAAACTGATAAATACTAACTTTAACCCAACTGACATAATTTTTAGCTCACCTGGCCCGAAGGGCCAAGTGAGCTTATGGCATGGTGCGGCGTCCGTCGTCCTTCGTCCTTCGTCCGTCCGTCGTCAACATTTTACTTTAAACAACTTCTTCTCAGTAACCATAAGGCCTAGGGTGATGATATTTGGCCAAAGGCATGCTGGGATGAAGGGCTACCAAGTTTGTTCAAATAAATGACCTTGACTTATATTCAAAATCACAGGGATAAATTATGTTTAAAACCTTTGAACAACTTCTTCTGAATAACCGATAGGCCTAGGGTGATGATATTTGGTCAGAAGCATGCTGGGATGAAGGGCTACCAAGTTTGTTCAAATAAATGACCTTCATCCATTTTCAAGGTCACAGGGTTCAAATATGTTTAAAACTTTTCAACAACTTCTTCTGAATAACCAATAGGCCTAGGGTGATGATATTTGGCCAGTAGCATGCTGAGATGAAGGGCTACCAAGTTTGTTCAAATAAATGACCTTGACTTATATTCAAGGTCACAGGGGTCAAATATGTTTAAAACCTTTAAACAACTTCTTCTGAATAACCAAGAGGCCTAGGGTGATGATATTTGGCCAGTAACATGCTGGGATGAAGGGCTACCAAGTTTGTTCAAATAAATGACCTTGCTTTATATTCAAGGTCACAGGGGTCAAATATGTTTAAAACCTTTAAACAACTTCTTCTGAATAACCAAGAGGCCTAGGGTGATGATATTTGGCCAGTAACATGCTGGGATGAAGGGCTACCAAGTTTGTTCAAATAAATGACCTTGATTTATATTCAAGGTCACAGGGGTCAAATATGTTTAAAACCTTTAAACAACTTCTTCTGAATAACCAAGAGGCCTAGGGTGATGATATTTGGCCAGTAACATGCTGGGATGAAGGGCTACCAAGTTTGTTCAAATAAATGACCTTGATTTATATTCAAGGTCACAGGGGTCAAATATGTTTAAAACCTTTAAACAACTTCTTCTGAATAACCAAGAGGCCTAGGGTGATGATATTTGGCCAGTAACATGCTGGGATGAAGGGCTACCAAGTTTGTTCAAATAAATGACCTTGATTTATATTCAAGGTCACAGGGGTCAAATATGTTTAAAACCTTTAAACAACTTCTTCTGAATAACCAAGAGGCCTAGGGTGATGATATTTGGCCAGTAACATGCTGGGATGAAGGGCTACCAAGTTTGTTCAAATAAATGACCTTGATTTATATTCAAGGTCACAGGGGTCAAATATGTTTAAAACATTTAAACAACTTCTTCTGAATAACCAATAGGCATAGGGTGATGATATTTCGCCAGTAATATGCTGGGATGAAGGGCTTCCAAGTTTGTTCAAATTCATGACCTTGACTTATATTCTAGGTCACAGGGGTCAAATATGTTTAAAACATTTAAACAACTTCTTCTGAATAACCAATAGGCCTTTGGTGCATAAATTTGGCCAGTAACATGCTGGGATAAAGGGCTACCAAGTTTGTTCAAATAAATGACATTGATTTATATTCAAGGTCACAGGGGTCAAATATGTTTAAAACATTTAAACAACTTCTACTGAATAACCAAGAGGCCTAAGGTGGTGATATTTGGCCAGTAGCATGCTGGGATGAAGGGCTACCAAATTTGTTCAAATAAATGACCTTCATTCATTTTCAAGGTCACAGGGGTCAAATATGTTTAAAACCTTTAAACAACTTCTTCTGAATAACCAAAATGCCCAGGGTGATGATATTTGGCCAGTAGCATGCTG